TCTATACCCAAGGTGAGACTTGAACTCACAACCCAGAGATCAAGAGTTGCATGCTCTGGGGTGCCTGCGTGGCTCAGCTGGGTAAGCATCTGCTTTCAGCTCAGGTCATGGTCCCAGGTTCCAGGATCGGGCTTTTGCTTCGGGTTTTCTGTTGAGCAGGAAATCTGCTTCCTCCTCTCCCTTTCTCCTTTACCCCCTCTCCCCCTGTCTCGGCTTGTGCTCGCTCTCTCTCCTTCACTCTCTCTCTCAAATAAATAAATAAATAAATAAAATCATAAAAAAAAAAAAAAAAAGAGTTGCATGCTCCACTGACTGAGTCAGCCAGATGCCCCTCATCACAAGGTTCTTAATCCTTGAAGGGGACCCAATCCAAGCTTTTACTTATCCAAGAAAAAGTGAGGCCCAGAGCAGAAGTGAGTTACTTACTAAACATGGGCTTGAGGCTGTGCCCTCATTAGGAAAGTTATTTCACCTTGCCAAGCGTCAGCATCCTTATTAATAAAATGTAGGTAAGAAAGAGTACCTACTTCAGAAGTTTACTCAGAAGACGGAAGGAGACGCTCCAAGGACAGTGGGCCTGGCAAGCGCAAACAGTATATATTCTGAGGGAACTTTCTGGAAATCTTACAGGAAGTCGGCCATCCACTGGAAAAAGATGGGATGCCAGTGGTACAATGTCTCTACCAGCTCAGCAAGACTAAGTTCTCCTGGTCAGGGAATGCAAAAATCTTAAAGTTGAATTAAGCTTAATACATTCAGCTTTGAGAAGTGGAAGGGAACTTTTGCAGATTCGGGAGAAAGAGCTAAGCAAGCAGTGATCAGATGCTGAAACCCTAGAAAGTTATGCCACCGGGGGAAAGTGGTGTATTCCAGGGGTGCTGGCTTGGGAGAACTGACTCTACATCCAGTAAAGTCACTTCCCAGTGATAGCCTGGAATTGGTAATGGTGGAAGTATTTACACCAGCAAATTGGCAAATACTACAAGTCAAGCCCCGCCCCTGCCCCCCAGTCACCACCAGCAGGAGAGTCTGCGATTAGAGAGTCACCAGCTTACCTGTTAGGCCGCATTCATCTCTGAGGTGGGTGAGCCATCCCCCTCCCTTCAGCCCCCCCGGCTGCCCATTTCTCAGGGAACTGGCTGGTCATTTCCTTGATCTGTCTTTTTTTTTTTTTTAAGATTTTTTTAATTTATTTATTTGACAGGCAGAAATCACAGGCAGAGAGGCAGGCAGAGGGGCGGGGGTGGGGGGGAAGCAGGCTCCCTGCTGAGCAGAGAGCCCAATGTGGGGCTTGATCCCAGGACCCTGGGATCATGACCTAAGCCGAAGGCAGAGGCTTAACCCTCTGAGCCACCCAAGGCCCCATCCTTGATCTGTCTTTATGCACCATTTTGCTTTCTGGGTTTGGGTCCACCTTCCACGTTCTGTGGTTCTTGCCGCTCAGAGATACCAAACTTCCCCCTCCTGTTCTCCAGTCCAGAGAGGAGAGGCTCTGGTCCAAAATAGTAGACTCATTTGACAACTCTCCATTTTTTCCACTTTCTTATCTCATCCTGCCAGCTTCTTCTTAGAACTTTGCCTGATTTCAGGAACTTTCCTGCTATGGCCTCTGTATGCTAGTTTGTTTCTTCTGGGCAGAAGGCAGAGGAGAAGTAGGAGGAGGTGGTGTTTGGGGAAGGCTTAGCAAGCTTTCTTTTCCAGAGAATAAGCCAGGTTGGTTTTGATGTCCCTGTCCCTTGAGGTGCCAGCCTATGGGTCCCAGGCCTCTTCATGGGGATACAGGCAGGATGGTCATGCCCCTCTTTATGCTTCTGGAAGTGTGGGGGTACAGAGCCTACTGACTAGTCAGGCGGCTACCCCAGCTGTTCCTGATTGACCTGCTCTTTCCGAAGCCCCCAGGAGAATATATCTCTAGGTTGAACAGAGAAGCAGGTTGTTGCTAAGAAACCTTTCAGCGTTACCTCTAGGGAGAGGACAGGAGAAGAGGAGTAGCCGGGCAGAAATAATAGGTAGCTTGATGGCCTCAGAGACCCAGGCTGTAGAAGGGCTGGCTACGGAGTCAGGCAGGAGCCCCATGCTGTCCCTCCCTCCAAGACTGAATAAGACAACTGTGCCTTGGACCTGGAGTCAGATCAGCTCCCCCGCCCCCACCCACCCATTCCCTTGCTGTGTCACCTGGCTTCTCTGAGCCCTGTCTAATTCCCTATCTCAGGGTTGTGTTGAGGAGTCAATGAGTTCAGGTAGGTAAAGCACTTAGCCGAGTGGACGTTTTGTCAATTCATTGGAGGTGAAAACAAAACAAAATAAAAACAGGCCTGTGTAGCAGCCTGAGCAGAGAGGGGTTTGAGCCTCATGTTTAATATGTGCCTATGGGATTTAGGATTAATATATGACTATAGGGGCGCCTAGGTGGCTCAGTGGGTTAAGCCTCTGCCTTCAGCTTGGGTCATGGTGTGGGGTCCTGGGATTGAGCCCCACATCAGGCTCTCTTATCAGCAGGGAGCCTGCTTCCCCCCCCCCCCGCCTGCCTCTCTGCCTACTTGTGATCTCTCTCTCTCTCTCTCTCTGTCAAATAAATACAATATATGATTATAGATTGGGGTTGATGCTTTAACAACTCTTTGCTGAGTCCCTTCCTGCAAATCAAGTCACTGTGTCTTTCCAACAACCCGTGAGGCACAGATCATAGAACTAAGGCTCTAAAAGGTCCCTACTTTGTTAGGGACCCCACGGTGAACCCCCACTGGTCACTGGTCTAGACAGGGTGCTTTCTACTGTCAAGAGCAGCCTAAGCGGCTACGGGACATCAGGGTGGGGCATTTCCTAACAGCTCCTGTCTCACGGTTGGCCACAGCCCATACCCAAACCAGAGAGAGTGGGTGTTTCCTGGGCCACACAGCCGTCCTGGGAGCCCTGCTCAGGGGCATGCCTATGTCTGCCGGCTCAGTGACCCCCCAAAGCATCCAGACCATGGTAGCCTTTTTATAAGTAACAAAATTATTCTGTTTGGCAGGACTTGGTGTGGGACAGAGATGGACCCCAGTCCTGGCTTTGCCACCAGCCAGCTCAGTGACTCGGAGTTTACCCTCCTGGAGCTCATTTATTCAGCGGGATTGCATGATTTCTTGGGTACAAGGGTTGTAGGGAGGGCCCAATGAGATGAAGTTTCTAAAAGGCCCCAGCCATGCAAACTAGTCGGCATTGTAAGCCATCCTGAAGGAAGTTGAGCCTTCTTGGGGGTTGGAGAACTGGTCATAAGCACCTTGCATTCGACTCAGCAAATATATCAGCATGGGCTGTCCTGTGCAATTCCCCACCTGAGGTACCACCAGGATCACAGAAAATTCCAGATCCTCAGCGGGAAACTTGCCAGCTATTGATTTGACTTCTATCTTGTTTGCTTCAGGTGGGGAACGCGAGGTAAGAAGTTAGGAGTTTGCCAGAAAAGCTTGGGGAGCTACAATATCGAAACCAATGAACTCTCATTTGTTTATTTAACAAATACCTCGTGGGTGGTTACATGGTGCCAGGCACTGAGGAAACAGGAAGAGGCCATCTAGGATAGAATTTACCTTCCATCACAAGGTAAAAGATGAAACATGAAACTGAAGGGAAAGGAGAGCCGGCTGAAGAGTTAAATCACTTTGCAAAAGAGGGAAAAGGGAAGAACCGTTTTATGCAATTTTATGGCTCAGTTCATCAGGCAAAACACACTGTTTTTATTCGTTTCAAGAGGATTTCATCATGGAAGAAGTATTTCAATAAGGGGCCTTTTGGGCAACAGAACAGATGATGTTTCTTTTTTTTTCTTTTTTTTTTTTTTCAGTGATGTTTCTTAATAGCAATTTTTGGGTTTTTGCCCCAGTATTTTATGATGAACATTTTCAAACATGCAGAAAAGTTGTAAGAAGGCAAACACCACTGTACCCACCTCCTAGAGTCTGCAAGTAATATTTTACTGTACTAATTGCTTTTTTTTTTTTTTTTTTTAAGGAAATTCCACCTAGGGCAGTTTCAAGTATCAGCTTTTCCTGAGGATATGGTAACCTTGTTTTTCCTCGGACAGGATGGGGCGAGGATGTGGCAGGGCAGAGGGATTTCGGCTCTCTGGGAATCAGACTGAATGGGGTTGCGGTTGGGGGGGCGCAGGGGACAGAAAGCTCTGAGAACGAGTTCTGCTGACCCCTGGGTTCTCGATCTTGCTGTGTGGTCTCGGCTCGTTGACAGGAGTCTCGTGGCGCTTTTGGCTGGAGGTCTAAGGGATCATCTTTCTCCTGCTCTAGACTTGTCTTCTTCGTTGGGCAAAGGGTAGAAGACAGCCATGGCGGCCCTGGCAGCCGCCCTGAGCACGGGACAGCACACGAGAACCCCAGAAGAGCTAAGCTGGGACGCCGAGGGGACCCTGAATTCTGCAGCTTGGCAGTCCGCCCCTCCGGCTGGCCACGCTCCTCCGGGTGCTGCAGCCCGAGCGCCCGGGAGGGGGAAGCAGCCGGCGAGCCGGAGCGGGGGTGCCGTCCTGCGGCAGCTGCAGAGCTCGGCCCGGCCCAGCTGTCCCCGCGACTCCAGGCGGCCGTCCCGGGCGGAGTGGGCTTGGGGAGGGACCGGCCTCCGCGCTCCACCCCCGGCCGGGCCGGAGTCGGCTCGGCGCGCCCGGGCGCGCGCCCTTTGCATAAAGCCCTCCTCCCCGGCCAAGGTAGAGGAAGTTGGGCTCCCGCCTGGATGGGAGGCGGGAGGGAGTCTCGCTCCTGTTGTTTTCCGCGAGCGGGAGTGGGTGGCGGGCGCAGAGGGCGGGGTGCGCCCTCCCACCCTGGGCCGGGCGCTCCCGAGACAGAACCGCGCCGGCAGCCCCAGGCTGTTTCCACCGCCGGACATCGGGCTCAGCTCAAGCATCCTTCCCGGGGACTGCGGAGAGTGGGGCTCCTCTGTCGTTCCGAGGACCTGGGAGGAGCACTCAGTACCCCAGGGGCCGGGGCCCTGGAGGTGGGGACGCACACCCACCCAGCCGGAGCCTGCGATTCCTGAGGAGTCCCTGCCCGCATCTGGGGCGAGATGGCCGCAGGCGTCCGGCCGTCCCAGCCGCAGGTCCTTGTCTGCCTCGGGGTGCTGCTGGCGCGCTGGGTCGCCGCAGGTAAGGGGCCGCGATCCGGAGGGAAAAGTTGAGTTTTGCCAGGCAAAGAGGAGAGCCAGGGACCCAATTCCCTCCGACTCCGCGGGAGCCAGTTGTGGCCGCGGCCCCGGAGCCGCCCCGGGAGGGTCTTGAGTTTCCTGCTCGCTGCTCGGCTCCTTTTGCAGGAAGGAATTTTCCCGGGCGCCTGATGGAGGGCAAGATATCCCCAGTCTCTTGGAGTGGGCAGCCAGCGAGGCTGCAGAGGGCCTGCAGAGAGGTGATGGGAGAATTGGGGAATTCGAAGATGGAAATTTTGAAGATGGGAAAATTGGAGAGGCACGTGTAGGGGGGAAAGTGGCATTTTGTTGTGGGCTGGTGTGTGTGTGTGGATTGTTGTTGTTTTTTTTAAGCGTCGGATGTAAATTTGCTTTCTGGTTTTACCTGCTGCGCTGGGGCTCAAACTCCAGGCTCCTTTATTCTCTCCTTCCTCTGCCCAAGGTTGAATTCGCCTTACACTTGTAACCTGTGGATTTCCCTACACACCCTTGCAAGCCAACCTGTGCGGATTAGCACATTCAAAAACCATGCCTTCCATCCTTCGCCTTAAAGAAACACAAAACAAATCCTTTTTATTTTGAAGTAATTTCAGACTTTCAGAAAACTCGCCTTTCCACTTGACATGACCTCTTCCACTTGACATGATTGGCAGAAGGCCTTAAATGCTTCATCTGTGCTCTCCCTTGTAACACTAAGTTTACAGGTTGTTTACAAAAATTTATAGGATACAGAAATATTGAAAAAGCATTTTTGAATTTAATGCACCAGCGAAAGTGTATATTTTGTGTGCAGGGCAGCGTGACAAGTAGTGAGAGCAAGGACTCAGGTAGAGGGAAAGGAGATGGGGCCAGGAGGTGGTGTACCTTGTCAGAATACTTGGGGTGTTATTTTCTTTTTTTCTTCTTTCTTTCTTTCTTTCTTTCTTTCTTTCTTTCTTTCTTTCTTTCTTTTTCTTTCTTTCTTTCTTTCTTTTTTTTTTATAAGATTTTATTTATCTATTTGAGAGAGAGAGAGAGAGATCACAAGCAGGCAGAGAGGCAGGTGGAGAGAGAGGGGGAAGCAGGCTTCCCGCTGAGCAGAGAGCCCGATGCGGGACTTGATTCCAGGACCCTGAGATCATGACCGGAGCTGAAGGCAGAGGCTTAACCCACTGAGCCACCCAGGCGCCCTGGGGTGTTATCTTCTGTGTAGCCCATGCCTGCACACACTGCTGACTGATTCCTGTAACAGGAATTGCCCCCCGCCCCCGGCTTCCTAGCAGCAAGTGCCAAAAGTTCTAACCATTAGGCTGTCGTAAGATTTTGTTTTGTTTTCGGCAATCATTTAAAAACAGTAAAATTTCCCATAATCTAGGTTTCCAGTTTATCTGGAAAAAATGTGGTGATTGGGCAGCCCCAGCTTTCCCACCTGGAACTGAGCAGTGGTTACACCTTCTCTCTAGGGCTTGTGACCCCAGATTTGTTCCACCTCTCCTGTTGTAGTACTTAGTCCTGATCCTCTTCTGTGGACCTTACCTGCGGGTCCCTGCTGGTGTTTCACTTAGTGGTCACTGTGCTATGGGGAGGAGGAGAGGACAGTCTCCAGCTGGCTCTCCCCGGAAGTTAAAGACGATTGTTCCCTTCTCACCGGCTGTCTGCTGTGTTTACTGCGCCGTGAACATCAGGGGCCTTGGGACATCAGAACCCTGGGTGACAGTCATCATTCTGGAATGAATCAGCTTTTAGCCTGACTACAGCTCACCACACAGGGACGCTTCCTTCACTGCCATGTGCGGTCATTTTGCTCTCAGGCCAAGTTCACCTTCATGGATAGTGCCAGGGGGTTCCCTAGCTGGGTGTGTTTTTGCTGTTTGTTTTCAAATTGGGAGTTATCTTAGGGGAAAAAAATTGTTACTTCACTCCGACAATGTTCATGCCTGTACTGTCCCCTCAGCTTGTAAATCTCGGGTCCTTCTTGGGGAAAAGTTGGCAGGAAAAAAAAAAAGTGTTGGGGTACAATCCCAACTCTGTGAGTGATAGTAGGAGGGTAGCATTGGGAAATGGTTGCTTATATCGCTCCCTCCTTAGGTCCATATTCTGAATTTAAGGTGGGGGAAGGGAGGCCTTCAGGGACCCTTTGGATACCATGTGGACAACTTCTGGTAACACAAACTATTAGGATGTCTTGTTGTCTCATCCTGTCTGATCGGGAGACCAGGATAAATCCCTATGACTCAAAGGACTGAAGACCTCTGTGACAGTCCCAGCTCTCCTAGTGACTTTTGTGGGCCCTTAGGGAAATCACTTAAGCTTTCTTTCTTTCTTTTTTTAAAGATTTTATTTATTTATTTGACAGAGAGAGAGATCACAAGTAGGCAGAGAGGCAGGCAGAGAGAGAGAGAGGGAAGCAAGCTCCCTGCTGAGCAGAGAGCCCGATGCGGGATCATGACCAAGATCATGACCTGAGCCGAAGGCAGCGGCTTAACCCACTGAGTCACCCAGGCACCCTCACTTAAGCTTTCTGAACCTCAGTTTTCTCATCTGTGAAAGGGAGTATGGAACGATCAAGCATGGAACCAGTGCACCCTCGAGGACTGCCCCTGGGTGTCCCTGTTCGACAGAGGTCACTAACAGATGACCAAATTCTTTTCCACTCAGCTGGGGCTCAGCCTGCCTCATCTTGAACCCAGCCCTCAGGACTTGCCACATGTCAGGACAAAATGACCTTCAAGGTCACCTTCAGCTTCAGCGGTTAGAAAGAATGGAGTGCGCAAAGCAAAGTGAAATGCCTTGAAATGGCTTCTTTTATGATTGCGTCTTTCTGCTCCTTGGAGGAGAAGACAATGTTCGCTCAAGTTCCAGAACGAGACTTTTGCCAGGGCTTTTCCAGGCTTTTTCTTTATTCACCTGCCAGGGAGCCGGGAAGGGGCAGGTCCGTAATTCTACAGTTCATCTTCTCTCCTCCGTGCGCATTGCCTCTGAGAACTTGGGTTCTCAGGCCTAATGGTTTAAAAAGAATTCTCACCTGCTTTTCAAAGTCATTGTTCAGAAGCCTTTCCTGCTGTTTTGGAATCTCTAGCATTACATGACATTGTCTGCCTTCCAGTGAGTGGCTTAGAGTTTTTTGGTTTTGGGGTGGTTTTTTTTGTTTTTTTTTGTTTTTTTGGTTTCTTTCTTTCTTTTTTTTTTTTTAATAAATTTTCTTTCTTTTTTTTTTTTTTAATTTATTTGACACAGAGAGAGAGAGAGATCACAAGTAGGCAGAGAGGCAGGCAGAGAGAGAGGGGGAAGCAGGCTCCCCGCTGAGCAGAGAGCCGCTGAGCAGAGAGCCCGATGCGGGGCTCGATCCCATGACCCTGAGATCACGACCTGAGCTGAAGGCAGCGGCTTAACCCACTGAGCCACCCAGGCGCCCCTTTGGTTTCTTTTTTTGTTTGTTTCTCATGTTGTCCTGGCATTTGGGAGTGGTGTGGCACCCAAGATGAGACGATAGTTGGAACGTCCTGTTGCTCCAGGCTCCAGGGTTAGAAGGAGCCCCTTCTAAGTAGACAAAAGACCAAAAGCATATCATTGTTACGGTTTATAATAGGGAAGGCTTTTCAGAGGCAGGTGGCAGTTTATTTTCCTAACTACTTTATTGAGATATCATTTATTCACCCTTTTAAAGTATATAATTCAGTGGTTTTTAGTATGTTCACAAGATTGTGCAACTGTCACCACTAATTGAGTCCAGAATGTTTTCATCACTCCAAAAAAGAAAGAAAGAAAGAAAGAAAGAAAGAAAGAAAGAAAGCAGTATTGCAGTATCCTTCACTATTAGCAGTCACTCCTCACTACTTCCCCCCCCAACCCCCGACAACCCACTTGCCCCAACCCTAGACAACTGCTAATCTACTTTCGATCTCCATAGATTTGCCTATTTTGGACATTTCATATAAATGGAATCACACAGTATGGAGTCTTTTAGAACTGCCTTCTTTCACTTACTGTAATGTTGGCAGGATTCATGCATGCTGCGGTTTGCACTCCATTCCTTTTTACGGCCAAATAATATTTCCCTGGATGGATATACCACATTTTATTTGTCCATTCATCAGCTGGTGGGCATGTGGGTTGTTTCCATCATTTTTTTTTTTAATTTATTTAACAGACAGAGATCACAAGTAGGCAGAGAGGCAGGCAGAGAGAGGGGGAAGCAGGCTCCCTGCCTAGCAGAGAGCCCGACGTGGGGCTCGATCCCAGGACCCTGGGACCATGACCTGAGCCGAAGACAGAGGCTTTAACCCACTAAGCCACCCAGGCACCATCTTTTGGCAGTGATGAATAATGCTGCTGTGAATGCACATATAAAGTCTGTGAAGACCTAGGTTTTCATTTCTCCTGGATCTACACCTTGGGGTGGAATTGCTGAGTCATGTTGTGACTTTAACCTTATGAGGAAATGCCACACCGTTTTCCAAAGGAGCAGCCCAATGAAAAAATCCTACCAACGATGCGTAAGGATTCCAGTTTCTTTGCATTTTCGCCAGTATTCATTTGCTGTGGTCTTTGATTTTAGCCATTCCAGTGAGTATGAAGTGGTATGTGTCTTACTGTGGTTTTCTTTTCATTGCCTTATTGACTAATGGTGAGCATCTTCTCATGTGCTTATTGGCCTTCCGTATATCTTTTTGGAGAAATATCCATTCAGACCCTTTGCCCATTTTTTATTTTTTATTATTTATTATTTTTAATTTTTTAAAAGATTTTATGTATTTATTTGACACAGGGAGAGAAAGATCACAGGTAGGCAGAGAGGCAGGCAGAGAGAGCGGGGAAGCAGGCTCCCCAGTGAGCAGAGAGCCTGATTCGGGGCTCGATCCCAGGACCCTGAGGTCATGACCTGAGCCAAACTCAGAGGCTTAACCCACCGAGCCACCCAGGCGCCCCCTTTGCCCATTTTTAAAATGGTATTATTTATCTTTTTATTTTTGAGTTGTGAGAGTTCTTCATATGTTCTGGATACAAACCTGTCATCAGGTGATTTGCAAACATTTTTATCACAGTCTGTAGTTTCTCTTTTCACTCTCTGGATGGTATCCTTGGATGCACAAAAATTTTTATTTTGACAAAATCCAATTTAGTCATTTTTCTTTCGTTACTTGTGATTATAGTGTCCTGAGAAACCCTTGCTTAACCCAAAGTGACAAAGATTTATAACTTTTTTCTTTTCTAAGCATTTTATAGTTTTAGCTCTTACATTTAGAGCTATGGTCCATTTTGAGTTATTTTTTTTTTAAGATTTTATTTATTTATTTGACAGAGAGAGATCACAAGTAGGCAGAGAGGCAGGCAGAGAGAGAGGAGGAAGCAGGCTCCATGCTGAGCAGAGAGCCTGATGTGGGGCTCAATCCCAGGACCCTGGGACCATGACCTGAGCCGAAGGCAGAGATTTTAACCCACTGAGTCACCCAGGTGCCCCAATTTTGAGTTAATTTTTATATATGATGTGAGGTAAGGGGTCTAACCTCATTCTTTTGTACGCGGATGCCCAGTTGTCAACGGCAATTTATTTTTTAATGAAATACCACCTTTCACAAACCCCAGTGTATTCACATGCTTTGAAAACTTCTGATGTGGTGGAAAGAGAACATTTTAGAGGACAGCAAGAAGTCTAGCTTCTGGTCCCACCCTGCTACCTTCTCACAGTAGAACATGGATCTAGCCCACGTTCCTTCTTGGCGTCACACCTTTCCCATCTACTGAGTGCAACAACATGGGTAGAAGACTCCTAACAGGTTCTGCCCATCAGTTCTGTGCCTGCGGCCTCTTTGTATTTGGACATTGATTGTGGAGGGGGGCTGTTATGTCTTGACACCTCTCAGCAACTGGGCTGAGAAGCAAATTTGCTTCTTGTTACCTGGTGACAGTCTGTGCCAGATCCGTCGCCCTTCATACCTGTCAGTCATGAGTGAGCATCAGAATCACCTGGAGATCTGCCTTTGATGTAGGTCATGATCCCAGGGTCCTAGGATCGAGCCCCACATCAGGCTCTCTGCTCAGCAGGGAGCCTGCTTCCCCCTCTCTCCCTCTGCCTGCCTCTCTGCCTACTTGTGATCTCTCAAAATAAATAAATAAATAAATAATCTTAAAAAAAAAAAAAGAATCACCTGGAGGGCTTGTTAAAATGCAGTGCTACCTTTCACCTCCACCCCTAGATAGGGGATTTATCTGATTTCAGTATTCTGGGGTGGGACCTGATAATTGGCACTTTCTAACGTGACGCTGCTGCTGCTGATCTGGGCTTTTGAACACGCTGTTCCCTCTGCCTGGGAACCCCATCTTCCTGTCTACCTGGCTAATTCCTACCTGTCCAGGCGATCTCAGTGTGGCCTCCTGGAGGAATCCTTCCCTGGCAGTCACCCCAGCTGGGCTTATGATCCCCTTCTCTGAGGCCATGTCATGGTACTGATCACCCTGGATGATAATTGCCAGTTTATTGTCTGTTTCCCCTGCTAGACTGTGAGATCCTGGAGGTCTGTCTCTGTGTTGCCCATTACTGGCTCCCCAGTGCCTAACACAGGGCATGGCCAAAGTTGGAGCGGCAAGAGAGCTTTGACTACCAGGATCGTTTGCACCAGCGATGGCGAGAGCCAGCAGTAGGAAGGTGGGAACAAAGCCCAGGCCCTCTTCCCTGCATTCCCCTTCTGGATTTCCAGGCAAATAAAACCACTTGGGTTCTGTATGGGTTATTTACTGCCACATTAGTACTGCATGACAATCACAAGATGACCGTAAGTGCTCATTATAGCTCCAGGGCTGGGGTTAGTCGGCTGTGCTGATCTTGCCTGGGCTCACTCACGTGTCCGGGCATCCACAGGGTGGCTGGGGGCTGATCTGGACGGGCCTCAGCTCAGATGATTGAGACACCTGGGGTCTGCACATGTCGCTCTCATCCTCCTCCTGGGTCCTACCACGGGCATGTCCTGCTCCAGGTGATGGCAGGAGGCGTGAGCAAGACCAGTTAAACATAGTGCTTAAGCCTCTGTGAGCATCGCGTCTGCTAACACCTCATTGGCCAGAGCAAGCCACGTGATCCAGCGGGGTTTCGGGGTGGGAGCACAGAGCAGTCCTGCGGTGCAGGGCACGGATGGGGTGGGGGGGTGTGGTAGATTTGGGGCTATCTCTGTGGTTGCCATTCACGGCAGGTTCATCATCAGCCCTGGCAGTAATCTCCACAGAGTGCTTAAAACACACCCTGGGGGCGCCTGGGTGGCTCAGTGGGTTAAAGCCTCTGCCTTCTGCTCAGGTCATGATCCCAGGGTCTTGGGATCCAGCCGCGCATCGGGCTCTCTGCTGGGTGGGGAGTCTGCTTCCCCTCCCGCCTCTGCCTGCTTGGGATATCTGTCTGTCAAACGAATTAAAAGACAAAAAAAAAACTTAAAAAAACAACAATAACACACACACACACCTGATTTTTTTTTTTTTTTTTTTTTTTTTAATCCTAATGCAGAGGGATGGTGCACAGGGGAGGGTGTTCAGAGATGAAGAGATGTAGTAACAGCCTGACCTTCCTTGTGCAGGGTTGGAGGCTCTGGTCATTGGAGAGGTTCACGAGAACATTACTCTGCACTGTGGCAACGTTTCGGGACCAAGGGGCCCGGTAACCTGGTATCGGAATGACTTGGAGCCTGTCTTCCTCCTGTCCTCCAATTCCAGCTTCCCGCCGGCTGAGCCACGCTTCTCTCTGGCAGATGCCAGTTCGCTGCACATCAGGGCGCTGAGGCTGCAGGATGAGGGCAACTACACCTGCCAGGAGGTCCTGAAAGAGACTCGGTGGTTCCGAGTGTGGCTGCAGGTGGCCGGTAAGTGTGGTGGCAGGGGCCTGGGGCCGGCTGGCCAGGCGCGCAGAGCCTTAGGCGGGAGGAAGGCTTTGGAGGCATGCCCGGGTTTCGTCCTGGGCTCTGCTACCTGCAAGCCCAGTCACCTCTCGTACCTGGATGTTCTCATCTGTGAAATGGGGGTGAAAAGAATTCTCGTGTCCTAGGATTGCTGTGAAGACTGGATTCTGGTTTATGTCAATAAACTGCTGTTAATGGCTCCTGGCACATTAGTTAGCGATTACTTTCAGCTGGTTAGTGCCGTCCTTGCTGTGAATACGATTTTATTATGCACCGTAGTCAGAGCATATAACATGATGGAGTCAGACTGCCCGAGTTCCAGTCCTGGGGTTGTGTCACCTTGAGTTAGGAGCTTAAGATCTCAGAGCGTTACTTGTCCTTATTTGTTAATTGAGGATAATACATCATGGACCTTGGTAGGTCTAGTGCTCTTATGCTACGGTGCTCACTGTAGGGCTTGGCATGAGCTACTATTGTATAACATGCTGCACTTTCCTCAAACAGTATCTTATCTGTGGATATACGTGCATGAATTTAGAATAGGGGTTGGCAAACTCAAGCCATATCTGTGGGTCTTATCTGACCTGCGGGCTACGAATATTTTTTACATTTTGAAAGGCTTGGAAAAAACCCCAAAGACGAATGATAATTGTGACATGTAAAAATGATATGAAATTCCAGTGCCCATATAGAAGGCTTGTTGGGACACAGCCACGCTCTGACTGCCTTTGGTGCTGTCATGGCAGAGTTGAGTGGCAGTGATGCGGGGTGGGTGACCTGCAAAGCCTAAAATATTTACTCGATGGCCCTTTGCAAAGAAGGTGGTGCTGCGTACTGGTTTAGACGGATATCCATGTTCTAGATCCAGAATGTGTCATTTAGTAGAAATAGACGCGTGATGCCTACCGCTCCCTAGTTTCCTCATCTGTAAGATAATTTACTTATTTCTTTATTCAGTATATATCCATTGAAAGCCTGGTGCCGGGCACTGGTCAAGGCACTGGGCCACAGGAGTGAACAGGACAGACAGGGCCCCTGCCTGCATGGAGCTCACATCCTAGTGAGGGAAGATGGACCAGTAAGCAAGTACACGAATGCGTCAGGCAGTACCAGGGTGATGAGGGCAGAGAGTCGAGGTGGGGTGATTCTCTGAAACCCTTTATTTTTTAAAATATTTTTTAAAGTTTTTTTTTTTTGTTTTTTGTTTTTTTTTTTTTTAATTTGACAGAGAGATCACAAGTGGGCAGAGAGGCAGGCAGAGAGAGAGAGAGAGGAGGAAGCAGGCTCCCTGCCGAGCAGAGACTCCGATTCGGGACTCAATCCCAGGACCCTGAGATCATGACCCGAGCCGAAGACAGAGGCTTAACCTACTGAGCCACCCAGGCGCCGTCTCTGAAACCCTTTAAATGAAGGGGATCAGAGAGAACCTTTTGGAGGAAGTGACATTTCAGCTGAACAATGAGTAGGAGCCCGTTGTGCAGAGATAAGAGTAACTATAGGAAGAACTATTTCCTGGGCCAGATGAGTTGAGTGTGGTGCGTGTACAGATGGGGAGAGGACTGGTGTGGTGGGAGCCCTGTGTGTGTGTGAAGGGGGGACTTGTGTTATGGGTTGAATTATATCCCTCCAAAATATTGAAATTCCAACTCTTGGTATCTGTGAATGGGACCTTATTGAGAAATAGGGTCTTTGCTGATGGAATCAAGTTTAGATGAGGTCATTGGGGTGGGCCCTCATCCAAACTGATTGGCATCCTTCTTCTTTTTTTTTTTTTTTTAAAGATTTTATTTATTTATTTGACAGAGATCACAAGTAGGCAGAGAGGCAGGCGGGGTGGGGGACAGTTGCTTCCCTGCTGAGCAGAGAGCCCGATGCGGGGCTCAATCCTGGGACCCTGGGATCATGACCTGAGCCATCCAGGCGCCCCTGATTGGCATCCTTCTAAGGAGAGGAAAAGGCACGTGAATATGGAGACACCCAGGAAACTATGCCTAACAACAGAGGCAGAAAGTGGAGAGATGCTGTTGGAAGCCAAGAAATGCCAGGGACTGATGGCCGCCACCGGAAGCCAGGAAAAGAGCGAGGAAGGATTCTCCCCTGCCCTCCTGACACGTGAATTTCAGACTTCTGGCCTCCAAAATTGTGAGAGAACCCATGTCTGTTGTTTAAGCCACCACACTTGTGGGACTTTGTAAAGGCAGCCTCAAGAAACTAATACACCCGGCAAGGAATTGAGATTTTTATTGTTGCTGTGGTGGGTGCCGGAGGAAAACTCCTGGAGCTTGAAGCATGGGTGTGGCATTATTTCAATTACACATGCAGGCTGTTTGTGTGTGATCTCAGGAAGGACTGATAAAAATAGGGAAGCCGACTGGTGGCATTAGAGGTTGGTGGCCAGAACCAGGGTGTGGCAGTGGTCTTGGTGAAATGCACAGCTTCAGAAATGATGTTGGAGGTAGACCAGTAAGACATGCTGGTGGATTGGAAGTGGAGGATGAAGAAAAGCAAGGCTTCAGGGACGTGTCTGGGTTTTTGGATGGTCTCTAAGGTTTCTGCCAGCTCTGAAGGCTTATGGAATTTGGGACTGCAGTGGTTTTGCGTTTGGAGATGCCACAGTTGAACGGCTGAATTGCCAAGAATGAACGTGGGTGTATTAAAAATGTCACCCATCTTGGCCCAGCTCTGTTCAGTTCCTACTGTGAGCCCATGGGCCACTCACTCCTGCTGCCAGTCATTAATAACTCCTCATGGCAGTCTCTGCAATAAAGGCCTTCTCTTTTGACCACAGAGTAAGATGGCATTACAACTTGTTGCTTTTTTATTTATTATTATTTTTTTTAAATCATCACTCTTTCCAGTTTATGGTGACTTTATCTGACATTGATTAATCATTGGCTAAGTTTATTGGAGGGTGGATTAGTTTCATTATTGCCCTGTAGGGACATAAATGCAAGACCTTTTTATAATGAACATGAACTTAAATCTTAAAAGAATCACTAAATTCAAATGGCTCTTGGGGCTCCCTGAGTTACTGTGATGTGATTCGTATTACGGAACGTCTTCATTTGGACACATACGGCGTCCCCGACTGGTGTGGGCTTGTTTGTGAAAACTGGATGCAGACCTAGTTTGGGGTGCCATAACCACAGTAACATAGGCTGGGTGGTTTCAACAACAAACACTTCTGGCAGTTCTGGAAGCTGGGAAGTCCGAGATCAAGGTGCCTGGAGATCCAATGTCTGGTGAGGCTCACTTCCTGGTTTGTAGATAGGTCTTCTCATTGTGTCCTCAGTTGATGGAAGGTAGAGAGAGAGAGAGGAAGGAGGGGTCTCTTCTTAGAAGGGCTCCAGTCCCATTCATGAGGACTCAACTCTCATGACCTCCTTATCACCTCCTCCCAAAGGCCCCAACTCCAAATACCATCATATTGGGAATTAGGTTTCAACATGAATTTTGGAGGGGATACAAGCATTCAGTCCATAGCACAGATGTCCTGTGATTTCCCACATACCAGAGCCCTCCAGAATCTCAGGTCTTAATCCCATTCTAGGACAAACCCTGGCAAACACAGACCCCTCCAGGCATCAGGGAGCCCCTTGCGGCTCCTCCTTAGACAGTGGCTGAAGGGGAGGCCTTGACATCTCAGATGGGACTCGGCCCTCATTTTGTATGGAAGATTTTGGAATATGGATTAAGCCTAATCCATTTCTGGGAGGGGAGGGCCATGGTACTGCTGGGTGGCTGCGAGCATACACTGAGGTCCAGCTGCCTGCATTCAAATCCAAGTGCTGGGGGCTGTTGTCCTGGTGACGTTGAGAAAGTCCCTTGAACTCCTCTCACTTGTATGCCCTTGGTTCATGTTACCCTTGACCACCTTGTTGAACAGGTGATGGGTTTCCTGTGGGAAAAATGCATCTCAGGTTCCCAGCAATCCATTAACACCCAACCCTTTGGAACGGGGACCTTCTATGGGTCAGGGATTCTGCGTGTCCTGATCTTGCTTTTCCTGTCTTTTCACTGACATGGTTGATAACGAAGTCTCTTAAGGAGAAAAGTTTGGAAACATTTGAACATGGCCTTGGAAGGAAGGGAAAAAAAATTCTGAGATGTGACGAGTTGTTATCTGTAAGTGACTTTGAATGTGTGGCCAGAGGTGCCAGAGAGACACAAAGCTGGCTGTCTATGGGCCAGTAGCTTCTTCCTCCCTACCGTTGAGATCACTGGCTGTTGATCGGGGGACATTTGGTGTCTCTGCCTTCCAGGGAATCGGGTTTTCTGTGCGCTGGGATGATTTAATATTCCTGGGATGGGCACTGCGATGTGATTTTTGTTATTTGTCTCAGGACACGAGACTGTGCTATATTACTTGCTAATTTAATGTTGCAGTTGAAGAACCTTGTCCTCTGGATTGGGACCCCTGCTCCTGAGAAGACAGGAATCCTTTAGTCTAGAGCAGTTCGGGGCTGCCAACTTTATTTCATGGACTTACGCACCCTCTTCTGCCTCCAAATTTGGGTGGGCAGGAGGTTAGAATTGCTGTGTTTACCTGCAGGAAGGCTGGAGGGATGGGCAAGGTAGCACAGACCTGAACACGTGCCACTAGACTTTGTTCTTCTTTAAAGATATCAGCTCTCATGCACTGGTGAGCGGAGTGATCAGATGATCCCATGGAAGCCTGCAGTCAGACTTCATGGTACGTGGTGCCAGGCTCTCGCCATGTCAGTTTTTCTCAGGCCACTCAAGTGCTGAGGGGACATTTGAGCTGGATGGCACATGGACTCTGAGGAAGCTGGTTGGTATCGACCTCCAAGAATCTCTTTGGAGTCAGCTGGGGAGTGCTCCCATCTAGCGAGTGATGTGGCCGTCACATCAGGAGAGGCCAGGAAGGGGCCTCAGGAAAGTGCCATGTTCCCTGACTAATTGGGTTCATCTCTTTGCCCTCATCCTATAATGCCGAGGGTGACGCTGTGCCCCCTCAGAACATAAGGTCCTCAGGAAAGAGTGTTTGGGCCGCACTGAAGAAAGATTTTTTTGGTTCCCTTCAGAAAATGGAGGACCCTTGCCTAGAGATTGATTACCTTGAGTCTTGCCAAGCTCATCTGAAGCAGAGATGGGTGCTTATAAGAAGCCGAAGACCTCTGGGGTCCAGCTCTTTGGACAGGAACAGCCATCACCTGGGAAATCGGGACGCAGTGGGGTTGTTACATTTGTTTCTATGTTCAGTCTCTAAAAGTGATATCAAAAAAGTCTCTTTGAGGGGTGTCTGGGTGGCTCAGTGGGTTAAAGCCTCTGTCTTCGGCTCAGGTCAGGATCCTAGGGTCCTGGGATCGAGCCCCGCATCGGGCTTTCTGCTCACCAGGGAGCCTGCTTCCCCCCCTCTCTCTGCCTGTCTCTCTGCCTACTTGTGATCTCTGTCTGTCAAATAAATAAATAAAATCTTAAAAACAAACAAACAAACAAACAAACCTAGGGACGCCTGGGTGGCTCAGTTGGTTGAGCAGCTGCCTTTGGCTCAGGTCATGATCCCAGCATCCTGGGATCGAGTCCCACATTGGGCTCCTTGCCCAGCAGGGAGCCTGCTTCTCCCTCTGTCTCTGCCTACCACTCTGTCTGCCTGTGCTCACTCCCTCTCTCTCCCTCTCTCTCTCTGACAAATAAGTAAATTTTAAAATCTTTTAAAAAATAATAATAATAATAAACTAGTGTCTTAAAAAAAAAAAAAGTCTCTGTGAGTATCCCCAAGGATCTTATCCCACTCTAGAACTATAGGTATGCCCACTCATTAGCACAGACTACCTGGTACATGTTTAGGTCATTTTCAAATCAAAATGCTAGTCTGAAAGCAGATGCCTAATGACAACTCTTCCTGTTGGCGGGGAACCCAAGACATGGAGATGAGACTCTCCCACCTGAGTTATAAGTCAACCCTGTGAGACCCTTGACTGGCCAAACTACGTTTATGGAGAGGAAGGAAAGAAGCGAGTTGTTCCCATGTCAGGAATGTCCACAGAGAAGAGGAAGGCAGTGGCACTGGTAGATTGTTCTAGAACAGGAATCCAACTTTTTCTGTAGAGGGCCAGATGGTAAATATTTTAGATGGTATGGCCCGACGGGTAAAGTCGAGGATGTTATATAAAAACTTATATAACAAGAGTGAAAACACACTTCCACATTTTTAAAAAAAGATTTTATTTATTTGAGAGAGAGTATGTGTGAGCATGAGCAGGGACAGGGGGGAGTCAAGGCAGAGCGAGAAGCAGACTCCTCGCTGAGCAGGGAGCCCAGTGTGGGCGTCAATCCCGGGACCCCGAGATCATGACCTGGGCTGTAGGCAGACAGTTAACCATTTGAGCCTCCCCGGTGCCCCTCTATCTGTTCTTTTCATTTCATAGGAAAGACGAGGGAATGAGAGCAATGGGCACTTGTCCAAGGTTGTTCCTCAGTTGGATTTACACCCAGGTCTGTGAATTCAGAGTATAAGCTCATGACCACGAGGCTGAGGCATCCATCCAGGAAGAAGCTGAGAACTCAAAGTACAGTAACCAAGGCGTCAGTTAGATCTCAAACCTTTATAACCGCTCTCTATTTTTATTTATTTCCTCTTTTATTTTTGTCTCCTCTCCCATCTCTCTGCCTCTTTGAGTGATTGCCACTGTCACCCTACAAAAAAAAAAAAAAAGGCACGGGTGGATTTCTGTTTAAGAATAAATATCACATGGGTGGAGAAAACAGTGGAAGGGAAGGAAATGGGTACCTCTTTCTATGTAGTAAAGTCAGAGCAGGGCAGGACCCCCAGGGAATCAGGAAGATGGCGTCAGCTTTAATTAAGAAAGCAGACTTAACCCAAGGGGTTTATGAGAGCTGTAACCACTGAACACTTAATTCAGGAGGCTCGGAAGGTTCTCTTGTTTGATTTATTTTTCTAATCCTGCCACCTGTTCTTCTTATCCATTCCCTGTATCCAAAGCTGTTTCTTGCTGAGAATTATGCTGCTCAAAAAGCCCCTCCCAGCCAGGTTCTGGGGGTCCACACTGTCCATGCTGGGCCCCTGCGGCCCTCCAGACCACAGTTCAGAAGACCCAGGCTGTCTAATCTAACGCCTGGGCTTTGACTGTTAGTGCCCAGAGATACCCTCTGCTTTGTTGGATGCCTGCCAACCTGGGCACGCCCTATTACCTGTTGGTCTGCATACCTAACCAACTAGCCAGCAACAGTAAATGGTACCTCCCAAACTAATGGCATAATTTTTTCCGCAGACCCTCAGTGGGAAATGACACGATTCCAGCAGGTCCGTGCAAATATTGGGAGCCAGCCCCAACCTGAGCAGCCTATGGTCAAGAATAGTGTCCTGGGAAACCCACCATTCCCATAGTTATACAATGGCTCCAGACATAGGTGAAGTAGATGTTGTACTTTTTTTTTTTTTTAAAGATTTTATTTATTTATTTGACAGAGAGAGATCACAAGTAGACAGAGAGGCAGGCAGAGAGAGAGAGAGAGAGAGGGAAGCAGGCTCCCTGCCGAGCAGAGAGCCGGATGCAGGACTCGGTCCCAGGACCCTGAGATCATGACCTGAGCCGAAGGCAGAGGCTTAACCCACTGAGCCACCCAGGCGCCCCCTAGATGTTGTACTTTAAGGGGCTCTGGGAGAGCCTTTTCCTTCCTGGAATAATTTTTCCAACTGGCCTGTTTCTATTCATATTCTACAGTCATAGATGTATTCCTTTGGTTAAGCATTGCCCTTCCTGGATTCTTCTTTTTAAGAGAGGAAGTCTCAAGGTCCCTGGGTGGCTCAGTCGGTTAAGCCTCTGCCTTTGGCTCAGGTCATGATCCCGAGGTCCTAGGATAGAGCCCCACATTGGGCTCCTTGCTTTGCTGGGAGCCTGCTTCTCCCTCTTTCTTGCCTCTCTCCTCTGCTCATTCTCTCTCTCCCTCCCTCTCTTTCTCAAATAAATGAATAAAATCTTAAAAACAAATAAAAGGGGTAGTCTCTGGGAGAGGTAACAGACTCGGTGGCTTTAGTCTAAACAGGTTTTAACTACGGACAACTGGGTGGCTCAGTTGGTTAAGCGTCTGCCTTCAGCTCAGGTCATGATCCCAGGGTCCTAAGATCAAGTCCCATGTCGGGCTCCTTGCTCAGCGGGGAGCCTGGTTCTCCCTCTTCTTTCCACTCCGTCTGCTTGTTTTCTCTCTCTCTCTCTCTCTCTTTCTGACAAACAAATAAATAACATCTTAAAATAAATAAATAAATAAATAGGTGTTAATTATATTTCTTTCAACAAAAGAGGTGTGGCATCTTGGGTGCACTGGGTACCAGCTGTGGGAGGGCATTCCTGGGAATGAGAAGAAGTTCGGAAATGCCAGGGGGACCCAGATAAGACCCAGCACTTCCCAAGTGCTTCCAACGTGACCGGCATTATTCTGAGTGTTCTGAGTACTCACTGAAGTACCACCGCAGACCCCCGCAGTGGGTTCTAGCATGGCCCCCAATTTTTTTACTTATTTGTATATTTTTAAAAGATTTTATTTATTTATTTGACAGAGGTAGAGATCACAAGTAGGCAGAGAGAAAGGGGAAAGCAGGTTCCCTGTTGAGCAGAGAGCCCGATGTGGGGCTCGATCCCAGGACCCCGAGATCATGACCTGAGCCAAAGGCAGAGACTTAACCCACTGAGCCACCCAGGCGCCCCATGGCCCCCAATTTACAGATGCGGAAATGGAGGCTCAGAGTGGTTAAGGTCACACAGCTAGTGAGTGGAGTCCAGAGTGGGGCCTGGAGCCAATGTTTCTTGTCTTTCGGTGTGAAATTGGACTAGGACTCCCCAGGCCCACCCCCAGGTTCAGTGATTCTCTAGGAGAAGTCCTAGGACTCAGCATGTAATTTATTAGAGCGAGAGGCTACAAAGCAAAATCAGCAAAGGAAAAAGGCACATGGGGTTCAGTCCGAGGAAAGCCACGAACAAGCCTCCACGAGTCCTTTCCCGGGGGCATCACATGGGACACGCTTAATTCCTCTGGGAGCTAATTGTGGCAACACATGTGAAATGTCTGCCAGGAAAGCCCCTTAGACACGGAGCACCGTGGATTTTCCTTGGGAGCTAGTCACACAGGCACCCTCTGCTGAGCACGTACCAAAATTCCAGACTCCCAGAGGGAGGGGAAGCAGGTGTTCAACTGCAAATGGTTGGCCAGAAAGCCTCATTCTCGTCAGTTCTGGGAATGGCCGGAACCCTCCAGAAATCCTTGTTGCCGTCACCAGCCAAGGCCAGCCTTGCAGCCTGTTTGTGCGCAGGTCGCCGATCCACTCACCAACGTGTCTGAAAAGGAGTGATTTGCATGTTTCCCTTTTAAGGCTTGAGCCCCCCATCCCCAAAAATCTACCTTTATCTCAGGATTCTAATGCAGAAGGGCACTTAGCATAGCATTTATCACTAATCATAATTAGTACTTGATGGATGTTGTCATCCTCATTGGCTGCTTCCTGATCATTTCTGTGTCTGCTAGATCTGGTAAGGAGTTCCAGTTAACTCTTAAGTAATTAATGCTTTCTCCATTCCCCCTGTCATTCCCAGGGGGCCCCTATGAGGTCGAGGTCAATATCTCCAGCACTGGCAAGCTCCCCAACGGCACCGTCTATGCAGCCAAGGGCTCCCAGGTGGCCTTCAGCTGCAGCAGTAGCTCCTGGCCTCCACCAATGGTTGAATGGCAGTTCCAGGCCCCAGATTCCAGAACTGAGCCCTTTGGAAATAACCTGACCGTCAACTGCTTCACTCTGCTGCTCATGTCACAAAACCTCCAAGGAAACTACACCTGTTTGGCCACGAACATGCGCAGTGGGAGACAGCGAAAGGTGACCACCGAGCTCCTGGTCTACTGTGCGTAAGAAGCGCTCCCCTTCCCCCTTCCCCTCCCCCACGCCCTCACCTTGACCCTCATGAACTGTATGTTTGTGCCTCTTCCTTTTGTCTACAAGGCATGCCTTTGTTGTACGGGCCCTAATGTGCTGCTGCGGCTCCTTCAACACGCATGTACACACCCAGGGCTGTGTCGGAGAGGGAGTCGCTTCTAGAAGCTTGCTGCTAAGTAGGGTTCGGGGAGAGTCCCTGTGAGCCACAGAAGGAAATTAATGCCAAGCCTCATGCTTGCTTTTTTTTTTATATTGAGGTGAAAGTACAGAACAACCATTTTAAAACATACAACTCAGTGGGATTTAGTACATTCACAGGGTTGTACAACCTCCACCTCTGTCTAGTTCCAGAACATTCCCATCACCCCAAATGGAAATCCCATCCCCACTGAGCAGCCACTCCCTCGTCTCTTCGTCACTCCCTGGCAGCTGCCAGCCTGTGTCCTGTCTGCATTTGCCTGTTCTGCGTGTGTCGTGGACTTCTAAAACACGTGGCTTCTTTCACATAGTGTCGTGTTTTCAGGGTGCATCCATGTCGTAGCAGGTGTTGGCCCTTCGCTGCTTTCTGTGACCGAGTTAATATCCCACTGTGGGGAAAGACCAGTTTGTTTATCCGATCGGCTATCCTCATTCTATCTATGAACTCGGGACCTCTTGCATTGCTAGGAATCAGCAGTTCCCGAACCTTCCGGGGGTGAGAACACAGCAGATTCCTTGGACGAAAACCACTGCAGACATGCAGAGTGTGCTCATAATCCATGCTAATGAAAGGGAGCTTCAGAACAACAAATTAGTGAACAGGATAATAACACCTTTCTTAATTCATACGTTATTCAGAGCCTGTATGAGTCTCTGTGTTCTCTGTCATAAATGACATTGTTTATGAAGTCATAGGTGCTTGTTAGAGGAAACAGATGAGTGTATAGAAGAAAAGGATATTCTAACCACCATTCTGGTGTCTTAGCAATAATTTATCTTGTAGATGACATGTATCTACTCATCCATGTAAGAGCCAAACATTTCTATTTGTGTTATATTTATATGAAATATAAATGTGTTATATTTCTATAAAATATATAAAACATATATATATAATACACAATACGTCTGATTTTTTTAAAGATTTTGTTTATTTGGCAGACAGAGGTCACAAGTAGGCAGAGAAGCAGGCAGAGAGAGAGAGGGGGAAGCGGGCTCCCTGCTGAGCAGAGAGCCCGATGCAGGGCTCGATCCCAGGATCCTGAGATCATGACCTGAGCCGAAGGGAGAGGTTTTAACCCATTGAGCCACCCAGACACCCCTATAATACATGATACAATATACATATATATCCATAATATACATTTGTACATATACAATATATATACATATATAATGTATGTATAATATGCATTTTTATATGTATAGATGTATAATATATGTGTAACATATATATGTATAATATATACATGCATTGCATACATATATATGTATAACATGTAGTATATATGTACATAATCTATACAATATAATGTACATATATATATATACACATAATATACATCTATAATATGTGTGGATTTTCATATGTAGTTATGAACACATGGGTTACATTGGATTTCCAGGTTTGTAACTTGTTAAATTTTTATGTGTTTTTCATAATACATGCCATGCCCATAATAAAAAGGAAGTATATGTTAAGGGGGGCTTGAATCCCACATGTACCTCCCCCTAGAGACCAGCACTGTCCAGTAGAGCTTTTCATGATGATGGAAATGTTCTGTTCTCTGTGGTCCAGTACAATAGCCACCCACCACATAGGGTTCCTGAGCCCTCGAAATGCGGGTGGTGTGATGGAAGAACTAAATTTATAATATAATATAATTAGTTTAAATTTAAATAGCCACATTTAAAGGCCACTGTGGCTAGTCAGAAGTGCAAAGATGAATGAGGTCCACAACCTTGGGGATTTTACACCCAGCAGAGGAAATCAGACTATTGTCACACGCTACTTTGTGCTAAGGAGCTATTTCCAGGTACACTAACTGGGCATGATGTTTCTCTAATACCCTAGTTCTGTAATCCTGAGAGCCAGCCCGATGGTGATCTCAGAGTCTGCGACTAAGTCCATGTCCTCTGGTGTTTTGCAGTCCCCCCTCCATCGGCCCCTCAGTGCCAGGCAGAGATGTCACAGGAATCACTCATGCTGCAGCTCACCTGTCGCTGGGACGGGGGGTACCCAGACCCGGACTTCCTGTGGACCGAAGAACCAGGAGGTGTGGTCGTGGGGACGTCAAAGCTGGGAGTGGAGATGCTGAACCAGTCTCAGCTGTCAGACGGCAAGAAGTTCAAGTGCGTTGGGAGCCACATAGTGGGGCCGGAGTTGGGAGCCAGCTGCGTGGTACAGATCAGTGAGTCTGGCTTGCTGGGGTTGGGGTCCACCGTCTTTATTCTGAGAGGACCGTTTGCAAGGTCTGGGAAAGAAATTCCAAGATGTCGCAATGAACTGAATTGTTTCTTCTTTTCTTTTGCTTTGTGTTTTCTTCCTTTCAAACTTTAAAGATGCTGAACCAAGCTTCTTGGTTCTCATCCAAGCTGTTTTCCACTTGACAGATGCTAATTAAGCACCTGCTATGTGCCAGGTACTGTTTCTAGGTATTGGAGATGGAAGAGGGAACAGGACGGGCATAGTTCCTTTATTAGCCACCTCCTGTTACGTAACAAATGCCCCAGACTTAATGGCTTAAAACAACGCATCATTCATCTATCTTATGATTTCTATGGGCCAGGAATTCAGACAGGACACGGTGGGGATGGTTTGTCTTGGCTCCGTGATTCCTGGGTCTCAGCTGCAAGCCCTAGTTGCGGGGTGGGTGTTGAAACTGTCCGAAGGATCTACTTCCAAGGTGCTCACCCACACGCCGGGCAGGTTGCTTCCTCTCCGCGCGGGCCTCTCCACAGGGCCCCTGAACTGTCCCTACAACGTGGCGCTGGCTTTCCCCAGACCAAGTGATGCAAGAGGGAGCAAGCCAGGCCGATGCTATCCTTTCTCTGAACGACCTGACCTCAGAAGTCACATGGCATCCGACTGCCTCTTGTGTTCATTAGAAATGAGTCCCTCAGTCCGGCTCCACTTTCAAGGGGAGTGGGTGGAATTGGGCTCCACTTTTTGAAGGGAAGAGGGTCACATGATTCCTGGACATGTTTTTGAAACCACGACCATCCCTCTCTCATAGAGCTCAAGCTCTTATGTGGGGTTGGGGGCGAGGGGAGGACAGAAAGTCCAAATACAAGTGAGGTAGGTTCAGGTCATGACAATACTTGTGAGGAGGACGAGACGGGGTGTGTTCAAGAGTCTCTTCTAGGAAGAGGGCCACTCTTCCTAGGGGGCAGGGAGGTCTCCTTATGGCGGTAGCATTTTCGAGCTAAGACCTGAAGGATGAGAAGGAGCTGGCCAGGTGGGCTGAGTGTTCCTGGCAGAGGAAACAGCAAATGCTGAGGCCCCGAGGTGGATACGTACCTGGCATTTGAGGAGCTGAGAGAAAGCCAGAGTAGCTAGAGTGTCATGCATGAGATACCCATGAGGCTAGATGGCTGTTGAGGGTTGAATTGGGTCTCCCCCAAAAAGATCTGTTCAAGTCCTAATCCTAGGTACCTGTGGACATGGCCATATTTGAAATAAGAGTCTTTGCAGATGTGATGAAGTTGAGATGAGGTCATACTGGGTTAGGGTGGGCTCTATTCCCATGACTGGTATCTTTACAAGAAGAGGGCCATTTGGACACGGATACACGGGGAGAATGCCACATGATAAGGGAGGTAGGGACTGTAGTGATGCACCTCCAAGCCCAGAATGCCCATGATTCCTCGCGATGCCCAGAAGCCAAGACAGAGGCATTTCATGGTGTCTCCCTCAGGAGCCTCCAAAGGAGTCAAGCCTGCTGACACCTTGATTTCAGACTTCTGAGTTTCTGAGCTGTGAGAGAATGGATTTCCATTGCTTGAGGCTACCCAGTTTGTGGTGTTTCTTGCTTACACTTGCCACACTCTCTAGTGTTAGGCTTTGCTGGCCATGGTGAGGGTCTTCCTCACGCCCATCAGGATAATCCTCAGAGAGGCAGCCGTGGAGCGCTGGACTGCTGAGAAGAGAGCCTTAGTATTCCAGGACTTGCTCATTTTCCCAGGCAAGTGGCATTCACATGGTCGTCTCTTCCCCACTGACTCATTCAGCAAACGTCCCAGCTGTCACATCTGTGTCCAGTGCCTGGCCGGCCTTGGGCAACAGAAGGATCCAAGACTCACTTTCTGCATTACAACAGAGCTTGGCACATGATGGCCCACGGGCCAAATCCAGCCCAACTGGTAATTTGCAATTTTACTTTCGATGAGATATAACTCACATAACATGAACGTCACTATTTCAAAGTGTATAATGTGGTGGCTTTTAGGACGTTCACATTGTTGTACTTACCGTCACTGCTGTGTACTTCCAGAACATTTCCATCACCACACAAGACCCCTACCCACGGCAGTGACTCCTGTCTGAAAAGACTGTGTGCGAGTGCTCCATTCCTGGTATTTCCATTGACATAGAGTGTTACCATTAAATCATTAATTTTTTAAGACTTTTCCTATTTGTTCATTAGGACATGGCATAACTGTTCTAATTTGGGTTTCTTTGATCCTAGTGGGGTTGGCAATTTTTGTATGCTTCTTGGGTCTCTATATATTATGCATGAATTATCTGTTCATATCTTGTCCATTTTTCTATTGAGTTCATCTTTTCCTGTTATTCCCCAAGAACACTTTATATTAACTCTGTCAATTAATTTCATAGAACTGTCATGCCTGTCATAGGTATTTTTCTGTCCCCATTGGCCCCTATACTACATTTGTGCCTCATCCCTGCTGGTGATTCACAGTTTCTGATTGATTTTGATGGGGTTCCCTCTGTCAGTCCTGCTCTTTTAGGGTTTCCGGGCTCAGAAGTTCTTTGCCTGTTTCCAGATCATCCAACATGTTGTTTGTAGGCCTCACAATAGCCTGTGGGTTAGACAGGACAGTTTGTAAGTTGCAGATGTGACACGGTGTGAACTGCCTTACCCAAGAGTGACCCAGCTTGTAAGTGACTGAAGCCGTCACTTAGCCCAGGCTGGTCTGACCGCAGAACCCTTGCCTCCCTTGGGGACCTCCTTCCTCAGGACCTAGTCCAGCAAATTTTTTTGAGTAAGAGTTATGTACTCAGCATGGCACTGGGTCCTATGGAGGAATTACCGGGTCCTGACCTTTGAAGGACTTAAAATTTACCGGGAGAGAGAAGTCTGAGAACCATGAAACAGGTAATATCACAGTAATAAGTGACATTGACATTTACTGAGTGCAAAGCATGTGCAAGGTGCTGTGCTCAGTGTTTTTTCCACACGGTCAGTCACCCTGGGAGCTGGAGGCTAGAAGTCCGAAATCAAGGTATTGGCAGGGTCATGCTCCCATCGAAGGTTCCAGAAGAGGCTCCTTCTGTGCCTCTTACAGAGCTGCCGGGTCTTCCTTGGCTGGTGGCCTTCTCCCTGTGCGTGTCTCTCTGTGTCCTCTCCTCCTCTCCCAAGACACCAGCCCCTGGGCTTAGTGCCCACGCTAAACCCAGGAGGATTTCATCTTGAGATCCTTAGCTTGTCACATCTGCAAAGACCCTGTTTCCAAATAAGGTCACATTCTGGGGTTCTAGGTGGACATGAGTTTTGAGCAGATGCTCAGCACTCTATTTTGTGGATGATGGAGCAGAGGCACTGGGCTTGACCCTACAGCTGGAAGCAGGACACACGTTCAGAGTGGTGTGTAGTGAAGACTCCCGAGCGTGTGTGGACAGTAAGACCCCAGAAATGGCTGAGTTACGGACTGACCCTGACAGAGGGGGAAAATAGCAGCAGCAGGTGACGGATTTGGTGTGATTTGGTGTGATTTCCCCCCATCCCTTCATTTCTTTATGCAGATTCTAGCTCAATCACCATTCCTACGGCCCCTGAGACTGGGCCAGTGATTTTGATTTGAGCTCAGGATGAAGAAACGTGTCTGGAGAAAAATGCTGACTGGAGAGGAAGCAGGCTCAAGAGCCTAAAACCTTCCTGACCCTGACATTGAACAGTTCTCCCCTCTTCCCTCTTGGTCACGTGAGCCCAGAGCATCTCAGCCTTGATGTCCATCCAGGTCTCCTGAGGGTCTAGTAAAAAGGCAGATTCTGATTCTGTGGGTTTGGGATGGACCCGAGACTCTGCATTTCTAACCAGCTGTCAGGAAGTGCTGATGCCGCTGGTCTGGGCGCCGCACTTTGAATAGCTGGGGAGTGGGAGTCTGGATCATTTCACTTGGCAGGAGCAGTAAGCCATTGAAAAGCAGTGGTAGGCGCGCCTAGCTGCCTCCGTCTGTAGAGCATGCAACTCTTCATCTCAGGGTCATGAGTTCAAACCCCACATTGGGCATGGAGCATACTTAAAAAAAATAGAAACAAAATGTTAATGCCCCCTTTGGGATGCAGAACAGTGCAGCCCCCAAAACGATGAGAAGTGACACTTTGGGGGGACTTGTCCTCCCCACATCTCTCTTTAAATTGCTTATAGGCCCCTACACTGAAGAAGACCGCTCAAATCGGGACAGGCTGAAGTACTAACCAGCCCATGGTGTGAAGGCTGGTGTGTTGCGATCTCTTACAGATCTCTGAGGGCCCTGCTCCCTGCCTCCACCCCTGACCCCACCTTTGCACAGAGCATCCTCTTAAGTGGAAGACACTCTTTGAATGTCTAGGTGCCACACCCGCTGTGGGGGTGACTCACATTTTTGAGGGTTAATGCTATGTTTGACAAAAGCATATTAATATATATGACTTTTGGGGCTCCTGGGTGGCTCAGTGGGTTAAAGCCTCTGCCTTCGGCTCAGGTCATGATCTCAGGGTCCTGGGATCGAGCCCTGCATCGGGCTCTCTGCTCAGCGGGGAGCCTGCTTCCTCCTCTCTCTCTGCCTGCTTATGATTAGGTCTGTCAAGTAAATAAATAAAATCTTTAAAAAAAAGATTAAAAAAATATATATATATGACCTTTGTTTGCAGGGGGTGGGGGGGATCCCAGGAGGATAGTTTGCTTTGCTTTTTATACAGAATGAGGAGGGCACTTCTCAAGCTTTGGTTTGTGGGGGCCCCCGAATTCCAACATACTGATGAGGCTTGTCAGTGCTGCTGGCTTTGTGACCCCAAAGGAGATACGAGTTAAGCAGAGAGAGGGGAAGGTGGGATTTAATAATGGGCAGGGGCCTGATGGTTGATCCAGAAAGGGGTGTAACGTGAGTTTCCTGAGCAAACCTGGGTTTGGGGTTTCTCTTTTGCTGACCTGATTTAGAGGGAGAGGCTTTGGGCTGTTCCACACCCCCACGTTGCCCCCCCACATCCATTCCCCCATTCCCTCTTCCCAGGGTGCCAGCCGTGAAACCCTAGATTCTCTCTTGGAACAACTGTGGATGGAAAGTGTAGGGTTTTGCTCTCCCGGGCAGGAACCCAACATGCCACTCTGTTTCCTTCAGCTGCTGAAAATATAGGCTTAATACATCACCCAAGATAAATCTGCGACCTTTCCCAGGAGGGTGTATGTTTTGGGAAAAGGCTTCTGCTGCAAAGAAAATAAACGGATCGCTATTGGAGACCTTACAGTTCTCCGTGTCCCACTTAGAGCAGACCCCAAGGCTGTAGGGACACTGCAATGGGAGCTGTCTAGGACAGACCTGTGATAGACAAACTAATGCTCCCCCAACAAAGATGTCCGTGTCCTAATCCCTGGGGCTTTCCCTTACATGGTAAGAGAGACTTTGCTGCTGGGATTAAGATCTCGAGATGGGGAGATTATCCTGGATTATTGGGATGGGCCCCATGTCATCACAAGGGTCCTCCTAAAAGGGAGGCAAGAGGGTTGAACTCAGTAGCAGGAGGCGTGATGACAGATATCAGAGGTTGGAGTGATGCAAGGAGGGGCCAGGAGCCAGGGAATGCGGGTGGCTTCGGAAAGCTGTGAGAGCAAGGAAATGGATTTGCACCCCCACCCCTGGAGCTGCCAAAAGGAACGAGCCCTGCTAACACCTTGATTCCAGCCCCCTAGGATCACTTCTTACTTCGGACCTCCAGAACTAGAAAAGGATAAATTTGTGTTGTTTTAAATCACTCCGTTTGTAGCAGTTTGTTACAGCAGCGAAAGGAAATGAATGCAGCTGCCTTACTGTCTCGTAGAGCGCTCTTGGCAGGCTGTGTGCCCATTCTTTGTATGAGCAGAGTGGCTGTGATGCAGGGAAGCCTAGAGCTTAGACGGGAATGTGGGCTACAGAAGTTTGGCAACTTGGGCTTACAAGAGTAACCAACTCAGGGCTCCTGGTTGGCTCAGTCAGTTGAGTGTCTGACTCTTGATTTTGGCTCAGGTCGTGATCTCAGGGTTGTGAGATCAAGCCCTGTGTCCAGCTCGGTGCTCAGCCAGGAGTCTGATGGGGATTCTGTTTTTCCCCCTCTGTCCCTCTCCCCATATGTTCTCTCTCTCAACCCCTCTCTCTCTTTCAACTAAATAAATAAAATCTTAAGAAAAGAGTAGCCAACTCATCTTGGTTTGCCCAAGACTTTCCCAGTTTTCTCACTGAAAGCTCCATGTCTCAGGAACCCCCTCACGCTTCAGCAAACTAGGACCAAAATAAAAATGTTGATTTCACCCCAAATCCTAGGTGCCCCACTTAATTTAGTTGTGTGCCTTTGAGCAAGTTACTTAACTTTTTCTGGGTCTCAGTTTCTTCATCTGCAAAATGGGGTTAATACGTTTAACAGTGTCTAGACCATAGTAGATGCTTAATAAATGTTAGCTTTTATTATTACATGAGTCCAAGTGCAGGACAGAAATTCCTGGAGTGGCTTCATCAGGAAGGTAATAACATTCTTGAAAAGCTCAGGCCATGGCTTGAATCTCCCTGAACATTTGTTTTTCTTTACTTTCTGGTCACCAGGAAGCCCCTCCCTTCTCTCCGAGCCCATGAAGACTTGCTTCGTGGGGGGCAGTGTGACACTCACCTGCCAAGTGTCTAGAGCCTACCCGCCTGCCAAGATCCTGTGGCTGAGGAACCTCACCCAGCCCAAGGTGGCCATCCAGCCCAATGACCGCTACCTCATCACGCAGGACGGCCAGAGTTCCACTCTCACCATCCGGAACTGCTCCCAGGCACTGGATGAGGGCTACTACGTCTGTCGGGCGGAGAACCCAGTGGGGGTGCGGGAGGTGGACATCTGGCTGAGCGTGAAAGGTGAGTGAGGGAGGGGACCCTGAAGGAGGACGGTGGAGGGCTTCAGAGGACCAGTCACCAGCATGGGGACAGCTTGGTTCTTCCCTATACGTGGGTCACTGCCATCAGGGAGAAGGTGTACCTGCTTGACTGTGACTTGACAAGGTGGAAAAACTATTATCCAGTTGTAAATCTCTAACACTGCATAGGGAATTAAAAAATAAAATTTACGTTGGGGCGCCTAGCTGGCTCCATTGGGAGAGCGTGCAACTCTGGATCCCAGCATCGTGTGTCAGAACCCCACACTGGCTGTAGAGATTACTAAAAAATAATAAAATAGAACTTAAAAAATAACTGCATCCCAAAGAATATATATATTATAAATATAAAATATATATATTAAAAATATGAAAAATGTAAGTCATAATAGCAAAATGAACATTTTAAGAATTACCATCCTGCTTAGGATACAGAGCAGTGCCTACAATGCTAGTTATTTGTAGGTAGTGTGGCCAGATTTAGAAAATGACAACAAAGCTAAAAAAAAAAAAAGAAAAAAAAAGAATAGGATGCCTGCTTGAATTTACATATCAGAAAAACAAGGCATTTTTTTAGCATAAGTATATCCCACATTTTCCGTGGGACATACTTATTCTAAAATAGGACTCATTGTTTATCTGAAATCCAAATTAAATGGGCATGCTATATTTTTTTCGGCCAACCCTACCTCTAGACCCCTTTCCAGTCTCATCCTGGGCCTCCTGAAAAAGGTAAGCACTATTCTGAATTTTTTTATTCAAGAAAAATGTTACTACCTAGTGAAATGCTTGCTGTTTCCACTCCACATTTTGTTCTTACTGTAATTGTAATTATATGTTGTACCTCTTCACTCCTGCAGGATTTCCTACTGTGTCATGATTCCACAACTAAGTTACTAATTTTCCTGCTGATGGACCTTTGTACTGTTTCTGATTTTGTTGTCGTTGTTGTGATGAGCAAAAAATGTTGCAATGAAAATCTTTTACCCAGCTCCGTGTGTACATATATATAGCAGATCCCCAGGCAAATATTTCTCTAGGATATATGTGGACGGAAGAGAAAGGAAGGGTTATGCACATTTGTATATTTCTGGGATAATAGCAAATTATTTTCCAAAGTGGTCATACCGATTTCTATTCACAACAGCGGTATCTAAGAGTGTTGAATTGTTCCGCATTTTCGCTTTCCGGCTTTGTGATTTTTGCCCATTAAGTACGTGTAAAATGGAATCTTTTTTTTTTTGTTTGTTTGTTTTGTTGGTTTTATTTTGTTTTGTTTTTTAAGATTTTATTTATTTATTTGACAGAGATCACAAGTAGGCAGAGAGGCAGGCAAAGAGAGAGGAAGGGAAGCAGGCTCCCTGCCGAGCAGAGAGCCCGACGTAGGGCTCGATCCCAGGACCCCGGGATCATGACCTGAGCCAAAGGCAGAGGCTTTAACCCACTGAGCCACCCAGGCACCCCTGTCAAATGGAATCTAACTGTCATTCTGATTGGCCCTTCTGTGGTTACTAAGAAGATTGAGAATTATTTCATATCTTTGCTATTTGCGTTTCTTCTGTGAAATACTCACTTGTATCTTTTGACATCTTCCCCTTTCTTGTAGATATGTAGGAGTTTTGGTTTTTTTTTAAGAATTTTTGTTTAAAGATTTTATTTATTTATTTGACAGAGAGATCACAAGTAGGCAGAGAGGCAGGCAGAGAGAAAGGGGGAAGCAGGGAGCCCGATGAGGGGCTCGATCCTAGGACCCTGGGATCATGGTCCTGAGCCGAAGGCAGAGGCTTTAACCCACTGAGCCACCTACACGCCCCATATGTAGGAGTTCTTTAGAAACTCTGCATACTAATCCCTTGTTAGTTTTACGTGTTACAAATACCTCCTTTTAGCTTGTTTGCCTTTCTTTTTTTTTTTTTTTGCTTTCTTTCTGCTATCCTTTGATTAGCAGACATTCTTACTTTCATGCAGTTAATTTTATGAATCATATCATTAACAATTTCTACGTCTCAAAAAATCTTATCTCCCCCATGGCCACAGAGATACTATCCTATACTTCTGAAAAGTTTTAATGTTTTGCCTTTTTCAGTTAAATCTGTACTCTATCTAGAATTGATTTTTGTGAATGGTGTGAGGTGTGGGGATCTCATTTCTCCCTCACCCAAATTTGGATAGCCATGGATTCTAGCACCATTCTTTTTTGTTTTTTTAATAATAAAAAAAAAATTTTTTTTTAAATAATCAAACTGGCACTTCTTTTTTTTAAAGATTTTATTTATTTATTTGACAGACAGAAATCACAAGTAGGCAGAGAGAGAGGGGGAAGCAGGCTCCCTGCTGAGCAGAGAGCCCAATACGGGGCTTGATCCCAGGACCCTGAGATCATGACCTGAGCCAAAGGAAGAGGCTTTAACCCACCGAGCCACCCAGGCGCCCCTCCAGCACCGTTCTTGAGTAATTCCTCTTTTACTCACTAATGTGTCATTATCAGATTTTCTTTTATGTGTGGTCTGTTCTCGGATTCTCTGCCTGCTCCATTCATCACTGTTCATCACAGCAGCAATAGCTCACCCTCTTCATTTCTATGGCCTTGTAAACAGTCTCGATGTCTGGAGATTTTAACTTTCCAGTCTTCCTTTGCATCACACACTTCATTTGCTTCCCTACAAACTCTCTGAGGTTGGGAAATGAGATTTTATCTTGCTTTATGGAGAGGTCATGTGCCTTGCCGAAGATGATGGAACCAAAACAAGACCAAGACCCAGGCAGAGGAAGGGAGCCGTCGCTCTTTGACCAGTACATGTATCAGATGGAAGGATCAACAGTGTGATTTGTCTTTGCAGAACCTTTAAATATCGGGGGAATTGTGGGAACCATTGTGAGCCTCCTGCTGCTGGGACTGGCCATTATCTCAGGGCTTATCTTGTATTATAGCCCTGTGTTCTGCTGGAAAGGTAAGGATTTCTTGGGCCCCTTTGTTTACTTTTGAGGCTCTTGAAAGGGTGTGGCAGGGGGAAGGAGGCCCCTGTTGTAGTCCTACCTGAGGTCCCATTTTATAGGCTTCTTGACTGGGTCCAGATGTGCAATAATGAATAAATTAAGTATACCATTCCTGACCACCCTGTCACCTGTCCTGTTGGGTCAGTTTTCTCATTTCACCATTCTTTTGTAGATGTCAGATTAAAAACTTTTGGGAGGCTGAAGTGGATATTATTGGATATTAATTTTTTTTTTTTTTCCTTTTTCCCTTCAGTAGGAAACACTTTCAGGTGAGTGTTCCTAGAATCGAGTCAAAAACCATTTCCATGGTCTGTGTTCGCGGCTGTGTTTTTCTTTTGCAAGAGCAGTAATGGCGGCCACTGTGGAGGACCCGGCATGGGCCAGACCCTGGGTGAGGGCCTTCGCTAGGCCTCCTTAGAGACTGTTTCATAAGCTCTTCAGGGTGGTGGTGGCACCTCCATTTGCCACATAAGGAGATGGACGCTCAGGGTAGTAGAGTAGTTTCTGCAAGCTCATCCGGGAAATGAATGGCAGCGCCTGCGTTCAGATCCAGGTCTCACTGATTGCAAAGTCTATGCTCTTGTCATAATGCCAGACCTCAGGGTGGGGCACGTTGCGGGGCTCTCACTGAAGCATAAAGGGGTGGTGTGTGTGTGAGCCCAGGCATGGGTGCATTTATTTTATTTAATTTTCTAAAAAGAGCTGAAAGGAAGAATAAGTCTTGGTCTCACAGCATGTTTTGGAAGACTAGTCTGAGCATGGCCAGGAGTCCCTCCCAAGAGGAGACCTCAGGGGGTGCCTGGATGGCTTAGTCAGTTAAGCGTCTGACTGATTTGGGCTCAGGTCATGATCTCAGGGTCATGGATTGAGCTCTAAGTCGGGCTCGGCGCTCAGCGTGGATTCTGCTTGTTGCCCTTCCTCGGCTCCTTCCCATGCTTGCACACTCTCTATTTCTAAAATAAATAAAGTCTTAGGGTGCCTGGGTGGCTCAGTTGGTTGGGTGTCTGCCTTCAGCTCAGGTCATGATCCCAGAGTCCCAGGATTGAGTCCCACATTGGGCTCCCTGCTCAGGGGGGGAGTCTGCTTCCCCCTTTGGCCCTCCCCCATCTCATATTCTCTCTCTCTCTCTCTCTCAAATAAATAAATAAATAAATAAATAAATTTTTAAAAGATTTTTCTTTATTTATTCGACAGAGATCACAAGTAGGCAGAGAGTCAGGCAGAGAGGGAGGGAAGCAGGCTCCCCGCCGCGCAGAGAGCACAATGCGGGACCCAATCCCAGGACCCTGAGATCATGACCCGAGCCGAAGGCAGAGGCCCAAACCCACTGAGCCACCCAGGCACCCCAAAGATCTTTTAATAAATAAATAAAATCTTTAAAAAAAATACCCCACTTAGGGGCACCTGGGTGGCTCAGTGGGTTAAAGCCTCTGCCTTCGGCTCACATCATGATCCCAGGGTCCTGGGATCAAGCCCCACATGGGGCTCTCTGCTCAGCAGGGAGCCTGCTTCCCTTCCTCTTTCTCTGCCTGCCTCTCTGCCTACTTGTGATCTCTGTCAAATAAATAAAATCTTTAAAAAAAATAAAAAATAAATAACCCACTTAAAAAAAAAGGGAAAGCTCAGTAGGGGCAAGGTGACTAAATGGAACGTGTGTCATCATTTCCCAAAGAGATTCTGGGTTGGAGCAAAGAACTCTTCTCTTTGTCCCTCTTAACCAGTTTATGAAGGGATATTGCTGTTCTGGGATGATCTTTCACAGGAAAATGTTACCTTTACTGCCCCATATTCGAGCACCATCTTCCCAGTGAGTCTTTCGTTCCCCAGACTTATTTCTCACAGGAGGAGGCAGCAAGCATCATGGAAAAACGCTTTGGAACTAGGGGACCTGGGTTCAGATTGTACCTCTCACACTCCCGAGCCCTGTGCTCCTGGAAAAATCCCTCAATCTCTCTGAGCCTTTGTCTCCTCATCCGTTTCCCAACAGGAGACTGAAGATTATATGAAAATGTAAGGCTCCTGGCACTGTGACTGGCCCAGGGCATGTGTAAGAAATGTACAGGCTGGCCAGGTAGGCAGAACCAGCAATGAACTAGAGAAGAATTCATAGTAACTGCTGGGCATGGACTCCAAGTGCAGTCACGGCTCAGGGCTTGCGGGGTGGAAGAGGACTTTACCTGGGCCCTAAAGGATGAATAGGAGGCGACATTTCAGTAAGTAGAGCAGAAATAAATGGTATTTCAGGAAAGGAATGTAGCCTTCGTGTATTCTGTAAGCAGGGAGCTTTACAAGAGCAATCAGAGTGCACAGAAGAAAACTTGGGGAAACTTAAAACGGAACCACGACTTTTAACCATGACTTTGAGAGAGTGCTGTGAGGGGAACTAAAATGGTAGGTTCCTGGGATAAAGAGTCACCTGCCCAAGGAGCAGGGGGAAGTAATAAAACCGGGAAAATGTGCATAGTCTACAGGAATCTGTCAATATCTCTGACATTACAATCATGCTGTCCTCTCTCTCTCTCTCTCTCTCTCTTTTTTTTTAAGATTTTATTTATTTATTTGACAGAGAGAGAAAGAAAGACCACAAGTAGGCAGAGAGGCAGGCAGAGAGAGAGGAGGAAGCAGGCTCCCTGCCGAGCAGAGAGCCCGATGCGGGGCTCGATCCCAGGACCCCGGGATCATGACCTGAGCTAAGGCAGAGGCTTAACCCACTGAGCCACCCAGGCTCCCCACACTATCCTCTCTCTCTCTCTCTCTTTTTTGTTTAAGATTTTATTTATTTATTTGACAGACAGAGATCACAAGTAGGCAGAGAAGCAGGCAGAGAGAGAGGGGGAAGCAGGCTCCCCGCTGAGCAGAGAGCCCGATGTGGGGCTCGATCCCAGGACCCTGGGATCATGACCTGAGCTGAAGGCAGAGGCTTAACCTACTGAGCCACCCAGGCGCCCCTATACACGATCCTCTCTTAAACGAGGTGAACACACAAAGAATTTTCCATGTTACCAAAGAGGTTGCCATAAATCTAGTGTTTTCTGTTCAGTGAGGGCTGATGTTAGGGGGGAAAAGGATGGAGTAACTTCTTGATTATTTCTCCCCCTTTGGAAATTAGGGGACAAGACATGGGTGATGTCATGGTTTTGGTGGATTCAGAAGAAGAGGAAGAGGTAGAGGAGGAAGATGGTGCTGAAGAAGAGGAAGAAGAAGAGGAAGAAACAAATGAGAGGGAGGAGTCACCAGAAGAAATCCCTAAGCATGGCCACATTCACAGAGTGACCGCACTGGTGAATGGGAATGTCGACTGGATGGGCAACGGACTCCAGGCTCTGCAAGGTGAGTCCTTTCTCCTTCCAAGCACTCTGCTAGGGGGCAGTGGGATTCCCCGTAAGAATCCCCAAGAGGTGAGTCTAGTTGTTTTTTTTTTTTTTTTAAGATTTTTTTATTATTTATTTGACAGAGATCACAAGTAGGCAGAGAGGCAGGCAGAGAGAGAGGGGGAAGCAGGCTCCCTGCTGAGCAGAGAGCCCGACGTGAGGCTCGATCCTAGGACCCTGGGACCATGACCTGAGCCGAAGGCAGAGGCTTTAACCCACTCAGCCACCCAGGCGCCCCGTGAGTCTAGTTTTTTAAAGGGTGGGGAAGGTAGTTTAACCTAGGATCGACTGTCAACGCCCCACACAATTAAAACTGACAGACATGTACCAAGGACCTGTTCTGGGAAAGGCACGCTATTGGCATTGTTGGGGGAATAAAAAAAAAACAAAAAAAAAACGATCATAACCCTAGTCAGGGAGCTTTACAAGACCAGTCAGAGGGGCGCCTGGGTGGCTCAGTGGGTTAAAGCCTCTGCCTTCAACTCAGGTCATGATCCCAGGGTCCTGGGATCGAGTCCCACATCGGGCTCTCTGGGCAGCAGGGAGCCTGCTTCCCCTTTCTCTCTCTCTCTGCCTGCCTCTCTGCCTACTTGTGATCTCTGTCTGTCAAATAAATAAATAAAATCTTTAAAAAAAAAAAAAAAAAAAGACCAGTCAGAGTGTACTGAGGAACACTTAAAACGGAAGCAAGATTTAACCCTGACTTTGAGAGAGCAGTAGAGGAGCTGTCACAGGGAGGAATTTGATTATTACCAGATGAATGACAGGCTTAAAAATCACAGGACCTCAGAGAGAGGTGAGATGCCTTGAGGGATGCTTTGGTTGGGAGACACTTAATGGCCGGAGGAGGATATGAGGCAAGTCTTTCAGGACGGTCGAGTCTGAATAAACAGAAAGGGGAGAGAGTATCCAGGCGAGGGGAATGGCAGCAACCGGCTGATGCTGGGTAGACCGCATCAAGCACGTCTAGAGGAGCTTGAGTGAAAAGAACAGGAGAAAAGGGGAACGCGCACCTGTCCCGCTCGCTCCCCCATGAATTCCAGTTCCCAGGCTCGCCAGTGAAGGACTAGGAAGGGCAGTGATTGAAAACGGATGGTGGGGACGGAGGGACCTCTCGCTGAGCCCACTCCGACTTGGATCTGCTTTTCCCTCCTGTCCAGACGACAGCAGTCAGGAGCGGATTGACATCATTCAAGAAGAAGACAGACCAGTTTGAAGAAAGAACTGTCCTCCATGATCCCGTCTTAAAAGCTTGGAAGGCTGCATTGAAGATGAGCTTTTCATTCTGCTTTGACTTGACTCGCACCCCTGTCTGAGGGCTGAAAGTGGTGTGGGGTGCTCAGCAAAAAAGAAACACACACACAGATTTCCTTCCATTTTTTTTCTTCTCCCTAAATTGGTTTGATTTGCTGTTTTTCTCATGGATGTTAAATGTGTTGGGAACGGGCAGTGTGTGGGGGGCCAGGTGTATTTGGCATCTCAGGTGCCCCCTTCACTGTGACTCTGGCTTTATCCAGGTTGACTGATGCCGATTTGGAGGGGACAGGAGTTGGGGGGAGCACCTGGCCTCCGTGCTCAGTGCTCCCAGTACACTATTAGATGTCCGTGACCAGCCTGCCCCATACAAGGGAAGAGTGTGGGGTGATAGGGACACCTCCCTTATCAATGCCCGGGTAAGCCGGAAGACCAGGCAGACGTCACCTCCCTGGAGAAGGTGAGGAGGTGTCCGCTACCGGTGCCAGTCAGAGGGAGGCAGTTTGGCTCAGGTTTTGGAGTTGCAAACAGCTGGGCTTGAATGTGGGCCCTGCTCCTTACTGGTTTCCTGGCCTTGGGCACGTTGCTTTACCTCTCCCTGGGCCTCAGTTTCCTCATCTGTAAAATAGGTAAAATCCTACCTGCCTTACAGGGTATGGTGAGGACTGAGGGAGGTATTGCAGATGGGAAAGTGCCCAGCGGGTGTTCAGCAGATGTCCTTTCTCCTCTCCCCTGCCCTCTCTAGCGGAAGACACTATGTCAACTGTGGGGTTCCAAGCTGCCGCCTGGGCCTCTCGGCTCTTTGTAGGATGGTTTCAGAGGAGAGCATTATCGGAGCTCTCCTGATGCTGTTGGCTTCCCTGGAGGTGTAGTTCTTTTCAAAAGAGGCAGGGGCCCCTAAGAGGAAGTGCCTTTCATTAGAACCTCTCATTTTGCGGAGTTTCCTATTTGTACAAAAGCCTCTTAGGTGATACCTGAGTAGCTTGCCGATTTCCCCATTCTCCTCTTTCTCCTGTGGCTTTGAAAGAAGGCAGGGGAAATGTTTTGCAGTGGAGTAGGGTGATAGAAGTACTCCTTGGGCCGACTAGTTCATCTGGCCTCAGCTTCCCAGTCTTGGAAATGGGGATGGGAAAATTTGTTTCCTTCCTCCTTCTTAAGGAGAGTGTGAAGATGCATTGATCAATAAGGCAAAGTTTTGAAGGAAGTGACATCTGATGCACGTAAGCTGCTGCTTCCAGATCCCCGTGCAGTCCGCAGATGGTTCTTTCCTGAACCATCTTTTCTGAACACGGGAGGGATTTTTGTCCAAATCCCTTCCGTGTCAGAGACGTAATAAGGGTGCAAAAGATTGTGAGGAGCATGAAAGTCTGACTTGAATTTGTGTTCTTTAATGTTCACATCCCACTTGCTGGGCAAGAGCTAGGGCTTAAGGGAGAGCTTCCTTTCTCCAAATAACACAGACCGGGACTCCAGTAAGATGAGAAGCTAGTTATCTGCAGCCTTCCCCTGCAGGTGTGATGGGGAGGGGTCTGTTTTCTTGGATGAAAAGACTGAACTGAGCAAATCACTAGGAGTGAGCCCCTCGTCCCCAGCTCAGCCGTGTGGATTGCAGGAGCTGCCTGTAGTTTCCACTCCTCAGGAATTATGTGCAAACTGCAATTCTTACTTGCTGGGGCTGCTGCTGCCCAGGACTTCCTGGGCTTAGCCACTCTGGCCAGTCCAAGTTAGTGTTTCAGAACAGGAGACTTGAGTTATTTCTAAAGTCACTGAGCTCAGAGTCTGTCTCCCTTGGAATCTTCCATGATTAAATTCCTGACTTTGAGAGTTCACTCTGCGGAGGCACCCATATTTAAAAAAGAAAAGAAAAGAAAGAGGAAAAAAAATCCCTAACTAGGAATGCAGAGAATGATCTTCAAGATCACTGAGATGCTTTCCAGAATTTTTTCTCTTGCATATGCACGAGATGGGACACATCCCTGATGATGGGAAATCTTTGGGGCAGGGTTTTTCCACTAGCAATGGCGGTGGGGGTGTGATGTGGTGTGGTGTGTGTGTGCTTCAAGATCTTATTGCCAAACACTATACACCCTGTGTTAGCTGAGCCACGACTTCCGTCACTTATATCTGAGTCCTGGGTCAGTTCAGAGTTCAGGAACTGGCAGTCTTCATGTCTTAAGGATTGTTAAAGAAATTAGGGCTTTCCTCTATTTTAAGATGACTTATCCCTAAAACTACAAGCATGAGGCAGTGGGTTACAAACTCTGTGGCAAAGTCCAAGTTGTTACATTGTGCTGTTACACAATCTTATCAGGTGTTCTGAACTCCAAGATCTACTTATCAGAACCAGGAAGATAAATACTTAACGGCTATCACAACCGACATTTCAGAAGGGGACACTGGGAAAGGGCTCGGCCAATCCTGTGGCTTTGATGTTAGTTCTTCTTATATTGTCATAAGCACATATAGGCCCTGTGACTGCAGACAACCCATGATGGAAGGTGCACCGGAACCTGTGATATCATCCTGGCCAGGTAAAATTCATTGTGATGCAGTAAGTGCCAACTGGTAATTCTCACCGTGGGAGTGACCAGGAACTGCTGCAAAGAATAATTTTAGCAGATCCCTCTGCATTATTTACATTTTCATATTTGGTGTGCAGTGTGTTGGGGGGGAGGAAGAGAAATTTATTCTGAGGTTAAAATATGGATTTTTTTTAAAAAGATTATGGAATAAAGTTATTTTTAAATAAATGTTTTAATGATCTTGATTTAGACTTGATTAGTAAACAAAGATTTGGAGAAATGGGTTTGCCTCCCCAGTTTTGTTTTGTTAGCAGCTTTCCCTGTGTTGGTAATCACAAAGTTCTCGTGGCCATTTTATTCTTTGTAGATACTCTCACACTGAGACTCCCGCACCTTTCCTGATCTCCTTGAGAAACTCGTTCTTCCATTTTTTTTCTTCCCCCCTCCCTGTCTATGCCTCTTTTTGGCCAGACTGCATGCTTTCTAACATGAAAGGGCTAGGGTAGCAGGCTTCAGGGGAGAACGCGTATCTGCTGGGCTGCCTGAAAAGATGAATTCTATCAGCTGTCCTGTAGTTGTGGGTGGCCTTGGGAGTTCTTTACTGGGCTCAGCTAATTGTAACCCCCACTTTCCTGTTCTAGGCCCAGGCTAAACCGCAGTTGTTAGAGGAAGCTTCAAGTCAGTCTCCCTGTTAGGTCATTCCTCCTCCCACCCCTCTCCTTACCGCCCTCCAGGCTCCCTCCAGGTTGCCCTGGCCTTGCTCCCCAGCTTTTATCACGGCGGCTCCACCTTAACTTACATCCTTTCTAACCAAACCCATGCTTCCTATCTCAACCTCAGTGTCCCGCTTTACTTTCCACCCAGCCCCTCCCTTTGAACACTCGTGGGTTGAATCCAAGCTGGTTTCTGAGCCCCCACTGGACCCCTGTCTGTTTCGCTTCTCTCCCTGTGGTCCCCAACACCTCTTTCCCCGAACTTCCGTCCTCCTATGTTTATCCAGCTTGTCCGTATTCGGACCCCCACTCTTCTTGGATCCCCCCCTTTTTCTGTCTGGCCCGCTGCCCCTTTCTCGCCGCCCATTTTACCCTTGACACGCTCGTTTTCACCCTCCCTTTTCCGCCGGGCTTGTCTTTCTCTGGTTCCCATTTTTTTAAAACCGGCGGCTTGCCCCGTCCTCCGCTTTCATTCCCAACCCCTGAGCTGGGCTCCTCCACCAAGGCTCCCATTTAACCTCTGAGCTCCCGGCCTCAGCGCCCCCATTTTATTCTCCAGGCTCGTTCCCGCCTTGTCACCGGCCTAAGGGGTTCCCGGACCCCCTCCCCCCAGTTCTCTCCTCGGCCCCCGTTTTTGTCCCCACAGTGCCTCTAGTCCCCGGTGTCTTCAGGTCCTCGTTCTCGAGAGACGTTCGCCTCCCTATTCGCTGCCCCCTTCTTCACCTGGTTCCCACCCCTTGGGCTTTCTCCCCGCGCCATCTGCCCCCGTTCTCTCCGCAGCCCTCCGCTCCCCTCCCTCGGACTCCCTCGGCCCGCCGCACCCCCTCTTCCCCCCACACCTCCAGCCCCCACCCCCCCCCCCCCCCCCCCCCCCGATTTTCCCCTCGGCCCCGCCCCTCCGTCTTGTCCCGTCCGCCCGCCCCCTCGTTCCTCTCAGCCATACACTGTGCCTCCCCTGCACCGGTGTTATCTTCCCCACCGCCCCGCTTTCCCCTCCGCCCCCGCCCCCCCCCGCATTTTATTCAGCCCCCCCCCCCCCGGCCGGTTCCCCTCGGCCCCGCCCCTTCGCCACGCCCCGCCTCCCGCGCGTCCCCGCCCGCGCCCGCCGCCATGTGACGGGAAGCAGCTGATGGCCTCTCCGGGCGGCGGCGGCGGGCGCGGCGGCGGCTGCGGGGCCAGGACCGGGGCCTGGGCCGGGGCCGGGGCGGGGGCGGGGGCGGGGGCGGGGGCGGGCGACGTAGGGGTGGCATGAGGGCCGGCGGCCCGGGGGGCTGAGGCGCCCGCCGCCTGCCGCGGGGCCGCGCGCGTCCTCCATGGAGGCCGGAGGTGAGCGGGGCGGGGGTGCGCGGGTTCCCGCCGGGCGGGGCCGAGCCCGTTCTCCCGGGGGGGGCGGGCGGGGGCGCAGGCTCGGCCGTGGGAGGGGCACGGCGGGGGCGCGGGGGCCTGGGCCATCCGCGCGGGCTCGCGGCGGGGGGCGCGCCCGGCGCCCAGCTTTGTTTCACTTTCGCTGTCAGCGGCCGCCACCACGTCTCCCGCCCGCGGTGGACAGGGCGGGCGAGCACGGGCCACTGCCTGCCGGGGATCCCCATCCGTCAGGACAGTGGGGGGCTCCCGGGGCCCAACGCCTCCGCCCGGGTGGGTACGCGGGATGCGCCAGGCCCTGAGGGGGGTGATAACCCGGGGTGCGGGTGCCCAGGTGCCAGGTGACGCACTTGCAGGTCTGGGTGGGAGTCAGGTCTGCCTCTTACCAGCGGTGTGATCGCGCACGGGCCACTTAACCCGAGTCTGTTTTGTATCTGCAAAATGGGATAATAATAGTACGTGCCCCAGTGGGTGGTGGGGAGCGTCCCAAACTTGCCTATTCATAAGGCAAGGGTCCCTATTAAAAAAAAAAAAAATCTGTTGCGAACCTCTCCCGGCGGAGACGCATTCGTAGAGGTGGGGTGGGGTGGGGCTAGGGATGCTGATCCTTGCTGGCATGCCTGATAGGGCAAGTTTAGGAGACATTGATGGGTGAGGTGCATGCCTCTGTCCTTGTTAACAGCTGTCATCTGAAAACTGTGGAAGTCTGAGACTGTCGGATATTCTTGGAGAGTCAGCCCGAATGAACGTGTAGTCTCAGTGTGCTTGTTAAGCAAAGACAAAACCTCCAGACTATCCCTCCGTCTTCTCCCGTTCAACCACCTTGCCTCTAAACCCTACCTATACAGAAATTTGGGGGTGGACTCGGGATTTCTTCTGGGAGTTCCAACTCTTGAATATACCTCCATGCTTAAAGGCAGTTTCTTAAGGGAAAATTCTCAGAAGGGGTCAAGGCCTAGGGTTCAGAAATGTTCCAGAAATCTCTTGGTATTCTTCCAGTGAGTTTCAAGCCTCATCTTGCTCTGGAGAATTCTGATTGTTGATGTTTGCGTTTCCCTGGCTAGTTTGATGGAACCGGGGATTGTGGGTGGGTAGGTTGGGATCAGGGTATTCCCTGGGGTGGTGTAACTTTTTAATTTGGGAAATGACATTTCTTTGTTTGCTGTAGTCAGGCATTCAGTAAATGGTGTGGAGGCAACTCTCTCAGGCTTCCCATCTAGATAAGGGCTCTCTTTTCAGTGAGTGTGTTACCACTTTTTAAATGGCCCCTACTGTTTGTCTGAATCTTATGTGAATCTTTTTATAGCTTCCGCTGTTGTTTCCATTGACTCCTTATAGTTAAAACTGAAAGCGATCTGTAGCTAGCCTCCCTTTTTAGCTGGAATCTGTTTCCAGTTCTGAGTTTTCCCTAATGATTGACGGCTGTGTTTTGGGGTGTGGGCAGAGCTGTTGAGAGCTGCCAAGTTGCTGTTTAAAAAAAAAAAAAAGAAGAGGCCAGAGACTTTTACATTCTTTTGAAACTGAATAAAGGCCATTGTAATGGGATTACAATGGCCAACAGTAGATATCTTCAGCACAGTGGTTAGAATTCTTTTATTCTTTGGACAAATATTTATTGAGTATCTACTGTGTGCCAGGCACTCTCTAGGCCAGCGCTGACCAATAGAAATAATAATTCCACATCTGTAACTTGAAATCTTTTAGTGGCTGCATTAAAAGAAGCAAAACAGGTGAAACCAATTTTAAAATTGTAATCGTCAATCCCACCTGTCTAAAATATTATCTTTGCAACATGGACTCACAATTATTGATCTCTTTTAGATTTTTTTTTTTTTTTTGGTACTAAATTCAAAATATGGTGTGTGTTATATACCTAACAGCCCATCTCCCTTCAGACTTGGTATTTTGCAAACAAACGGTCAGCGGTCAAGTGTGGCTGGTGTTACTGTGTTGGACCGTGGAGGTCAGTTGCAGTGGGCAGAGAGGGAGGTTTGGCGTGAGTGTGGGGAAGAGCTAGACAGGAAATGTGTAAAAGCAAGTAAGCAATCAGGACAAGCTGAGTGAGTGGTACACCCCTAAAGAACATTGAACTGAGAGGGAGAGGAAGTTCTCCGAGAAGGTGACATCAACACTGAGACCTGGGCGGTGAGATGGAGCAGTCAGACAAGGATCTGGGGCCTCCCAGGCAGCTTTCCCGGCCGATGGAACAGCCACTGTGAAGACTGTGAGGCAGGACAAATCACCAGGCTTCCTGCTGGCTGGAGTCAGTTGCTTCCATGTCTGTGTGCAAGTGAATCTCCTTGCACAGAAGAAGCTGTTAATATCTTTCCATTCAGCCTGGTCATCCAGATACATCCCAGTGTTTAATTACAACACCTTGATCTGTGGACCTTTTCCCCACAAAGGGCCACGGCAGGTACAATCCAAGATGAAAGCTGGATTCTCGGCTCTGGTTTTTGTTTTTTTAAGTTCTGCACTTATTATGGCTTCTCTCCACCCCTCGCCCCCTCCGCCAGCAACCAAGTTTAGTTTGGGCCCAGACTCTCTTCAGAATTTTCTTAGTTCTAGAAATG